TACGCCGAGTCATAACGTTTATTTATTTATTTATTATTTCCGGCGTATAAGATGACGTTCTAGGCATGCGACTCGGTGTTGATCATCTTATATGCTGGAAATTACGTCATTTCCGGCGTATAAGATGATCGACACCGAGTCGCATGCCTAGAAAGTCATCTTATACGCCGGAAATAACGTTATAAACTACGTTTATTTCCGGCATATAAGATGACTTTCTAGGCATGCGACTTGGTGTCGATCATCTTATATGCCGGAAATGACGTTATTTCCGGCGTATAAGATGATCGACACCGAGTCGCATGCCTAGAAAGTCATCTTATACGCCGGAAATGACGTCATTTCCGGCGTATAAGATGATTGACGCCGAGTCGCATGCCTAGAAAGTCGTCTTATATGCGACTCGGCGTCGATCGTCTTGCGACCCGGCGTCGAACTCGGGGGTCGTCTTATACGCCGGGTCGCCTAATACGCCGGCATATACGGTAAGTATGATATGAAAAGGTTCAGAGTATATTATAATGTGTTTAATGATTGGGTTTTTTATTGTTATTATTATTATTTTTAAGAGAAGATAACTTGTTTAATTAAATGTACCTAGATTTGTTTAGGATTTATATGTCTTTTAAGTTTTTTTTTTGATAGGAGAGAAGATTATGGAGATTGAATGAAAATCTTAGATAAGAAGTTTAAGTTTAAGTATTTCGTTTAAGTATTCAAAGAGTATTTAGTTTTAATGGTATAATGAAGGTTTATATGTTTATTTTTGTGTTCTAGGATAAAGAAAGAGGGAGAGATTAGATTTTATATTGTAGGTATAATGTTTAAATTTGTGTTTTGGAGGGAGTTTATACAGAATGATGGATAATAATATAAGTATGATACTAGAAAATGTTTAGAGTATATTATAATGTGTTTAATGATTGCAATTATTATTTTTTAGAGAATATAACCTATTTAATTTAATGTATTTAGATTTGTTTAGGATTTATATGTGTTTTAAGTTTTTCTTTTCTTTTTCTGAAAAATTTTAATTAAGCCTGTACTCAGCTCTGGGAAGGTTGGGGGAGGGGTTGGGAGGTTTGGGGAGGTGGGGGAGGGTATGGGAGGGTGGGGGGGGTTGGGGAGGGGATTTGTTTTGTAAAATTTAAAAAACTTTCAATAAAAAAAACAATTGCAATGATGTTGAGACTCTAGAAATAGAGTACAGTGAAGAACAACAAAGATGATTAGGGGACTGGAGGCTAAAACATAAAGAACGGTTGCTAGAATTGGGTATGTCTAGTTTAATGAAGAGAAGGACGAGCGGGGACATGATAGCTGTGTTCCAATATCTCAGGGGTTGCCCCAAAGAAGAGGGAGTCAAGCTATTCTCCAAAGCACCTGAAAGGCAGGACAAGAAGAAACGGATGGAAACTAATCAAGGAGAGAAGCAACCTGGAGCTAAGGCAGTGGTTCTCAACCTTTCTAATGCTGCGACCCCATAATACACTTCCCCATGTTGTGGTGACCCCCAACCACTTATACATCATCGGGTGCCAGGGGCGTGGCCAAAGAAAAGGGGGAAAAAATGGCGGACAGCCTTGTTTGGCGACCCCCGTGAAATGGTCGTTCGACCCCAAATGGGGTCCCGATCCACAGGTTGAGAACCACTGAGCTAAGGAGAAACTTCCTGACAGAACAGTGGAACAACCTGCCTCCAGAAGCGGTGAATGCTCCAACACTGGAAGTTTTTAAGAAGAGATTGGACAGCCACTTGTCTGAAATGGTATAGGGTTTCCTGCCTGAGCAGGGGGTTGGACTAGATGACCTCCAAGGTCCCTTCCAACTTTATTATTATTATCATCATCATCATCATCATTATTATTATTAGCCACTGTGGCAAGAAAAGTTTTAAAATGAGGCAAAAATACCACTTAATAATTATCTCGCTTAGCAACATAAATTTTAGGCTCACTTATGGTCGTAAGTCGAGACTACCTGTACAATTGCTGAGCAAGGACTACCCCTTCAAAAACCATAACCAAGGTTAAAACAAATTTAGCAAGTTATGGAAACAGAGCTAGTGGGCGTGAAACTGACCTGGTTTAAGAATCAGTCTCTTTTCTGAGACTTTAATAATCTATTTTTGCATAAAATTAGTTCTCTTCCCTCCTTCTGTTCTTTCAGTCTCCCCCTCCCCCAAGGGCTGCTTTGATCATCCTCATTATCATTTTACATCATGCTAAAATGAAAATAGTGAAAGGATTTCACAGCAGGAGCAATGTTTAGTTCCAACAATTTTTATGCTATCTGTTTATATGACCGTAAGCAGCTTACACCCTGCGGTATGAAAAAGGTCCATAAAAACAATCCGGTAGTTTGTCTCAGAATGCTTATCCAAAATAGCTCCAAAGAGGCTAGCAGGAGGATCCTACTCAGTCGCAGAGCCTCCAAATAATGCTGCCTACTAGATTATGGGTAGTCCTCGACGTAAACCACAATTGAGCCCAGCATTTCTGTTGCTAAGTGAGACATTTGTGAAGTGAGATTTGCCCCCATTTTACAACCTTTCTTGCCACAGTTGTTAAGTGAATCAGTATAGTTGTTAAGTTAGTAACACAGCTGTTAATGAATCTGGCTTCCCCCATTGACTTTTGTCAGGGTAATGATTTAAAGCAGTGGTTCTCAACCTTTTTAATGCTGCGACCCCCAACCGGTCGTAAGTCGAAGACTAAACCGGTCGTAAGTCGAGGACTTTCCCTGCCCGGGAGCGCCAGGCATGCGTGGTGCTGCCTCCTGCGCCGGCCAAGGCGTAGCTGGCAAGCGGCAGAGATGGAGCAGGCTGACCACCAGCTGGGCCACCAGCTGGCCCAGCCCAAGGGAGGTAAGGCACCCGCCGGAAAAAGGGGGGAAAAAATGGCGGACAGCCTTGCTTGGCGACCCCCGTGAAATGGTCGATTGACCCCAAATGGGATCGTGACCCATAGGTTGAGAACCGCTGATTTAAAGGCTAACCAGCTGATGTAATGTAAGGTGGATGATGCAATGATAGGAATGACTCAGCAGGGTCTGCGTCTCTTTAAGAGCAAGCAGGGTCTGTATCCCTTTAAGACCCCGAGTATAAAAGGGAAGCCTTGCTGGAGTCTTTCTCGTCCGTTTCCCGCTGTAATTGCTGAATGACCACGTGTATGTGTTTTGTTCCTAGTGTATATTGTAGATAGTGTAATGTAAAACCACCATTTAATACAAACCACTGTTTACTGTATTTACTCCTGGGTTACCTCAGTGCAATAAGACTGTGCATGCTCTAATAGCTTTGCTTGTCCGAAGGTCACAAAAGGAGATCACATGACCCTGGGACACTGCAATGGTCATAAATATGAACCAGTTGCCAAGCATTTAAATTTTGATCCCACACTCGTGAGGAAGCTGCCAAGATTCTAACTGTGAAAAAATGGTCATAAGTCACTTTTTTTTCAGTGCCGCTATAACTTTGAACAGTCACTAAGTGAACTGTTGTAAGTCGAGGACTGGGGAATTCATGAGGCATCTGTTGCAAACCCAAGAGGAACCGTAAGATATGCAAGATGGGCCAGTTAATGGTCCCCAGGAACGTTGTCCATAGGGTTGCGATGGGTCGGACACGACTTCGCAACTCACAACCACAACAAATTCCCCCAGTAGAAGTCAGGGGTGGCTACAAGTCTGCCATCTAATCAAGATGAGAGACATAGTCATAGTTGTCCCAAAGGTGCTTTTTTTCAGGAGGCAACTGGACTTTCTTGTTTTTCCTTTGAAGGCGTTTCACTTCTCATCCCAGAAGCTTCTTCAGCTCTGACTGGATGGTGGGGAAGGGAAGGATTTATACTCCTTGCAGACAGCTGGTCGTTTGCCTTCTTTTAAAAGTCCAGTTGCCTCGTGAAAAAGCATCTTTGGGATGAGGGACCGATGTGAATCACTCTCAGATCACAGTTTTAAACAAGAATGGCTTTTACCAGGAGTCAGAAAGCTTATCAGGAAAATCATCCATACCAATTTTGTTGTTGTGAATTGCAAAGTCGTGTCTGACCCATCGCGACCCCACGGACAACGTTCCTCCAGGTCTTCCTGTCCTCTACCGTCTTCTGGAGTCCATTTAAGTTCACACCTACTGCTTCAGTGACTCCATCCAGCCATCTCATTCTCTGTCGTCCCCTTCTTCTATTGCCCTCCATCTTTCCCAGCATCAGGCTCTTCTCCAGTGAGTCCTTCCTTCTCATTAGGTGGCCAAAGTATTTGAGTTTAAACTTCAGGATCTGGCCTTCTAAAGAGCAGTCGGGGTTGATCTCCTCTAGGACTGACCGGTTGGATCGCCTTGCAGTCCAGGGGACTCACAGGAGTCTTCTCCAGCACAAGAGTTCAAAGGCCTCCATTCTTTGGCACTCAGCCTTTCTTATGGTCCAACTTTCACAGCCCTACATTGCAACTGGGAAAACCATGGCCTGGACTATACGCACTTTTGTTGGCAGGGTGATGTCTCTGCTTTTTAGTATGCTGTCTAGATTTGCCATAGCTTTCCTCCCCAGGAGCAAGCGTCTTTTAATTTCTTGGCTGCAGTCCCATCTGAGGTGATCTTGGAGCCCAGAAAAATAAAATCTGTCACTACCTCCATTTCTTCCCCATCTATTTGCCAGGAATTGAGAGGGCCGGATGCCATGATTTTGGTTTTCTTAATGTTGAGTTTCACCATACCAATACAAGAGAGTGTTTGTACAGTAGTGGCCAAAATTGTGGAAACCTTTTGGGAAAAGTGTACATTTGAGGTTTGATGGCTAATAACACCACTTTTTTGGGGGAGGCATTTTCGAATTCGTTTTATTTACTTAAAAAAATGTACAGTTGCCTTCTCGCTCGCTGTTAGGCAGCTTACAAGCAATAAAAACATAATATAGATATTTTTTTTTTTTTAAAAAAAACAACTGTTAGAAATGTGGCTGGATTTGTCACCCATTTAATTCTAGTTTTCCCCTCTATTGTAGATTCTTTTTAATTTTGGTCCATCCGAAGGGACATCTGGCATACTAGGAAGCCATGCGTTATCAAAATACTATAAGGTAAGTAATGCCCTTGTAAGGCAATGATATATTCTTTAGCTGCTAGAACAGTGGTTCTCAACCTGTGGGTCGGGACCCCATTTGGGGTCGAACGACCATTTCATGGGGGTCGCCAAACAACACAGTCCGCCATTTTTTCCCCCTTTTCCTTAGCTGTGCTACTCCCTTTTATTCTGTTGGCTTTTGAAAGCCAATAGAATAGACTCTCTTGAGTAGTCTAATTCTATTGGCTTTCAAAAGCCAATAGGAATTGTCCAGGCTGTCTCTGCCCTGCTGAGCCCACCAAAAGTCCCATTCTGCAAACGGTGCTGCACCAGTTGAGTAGTCCTCGACTTATGACCGGTTGGGGGTCGGGGCATTAAAAAGGTTGAGAACCACTGTCATAAATCTTTCTGTTATCAAATACTGTATTCTGGGGAGTGGGTGGGAGGGGGGGTTGGGGGTGGGTGGGTGTTCTGGGGAGTGGGGGGGAGGGGGGGTTGGGGATGGGTGGGTAAGTAGGTTAGACAATAGGATTAAAGTAAGGTAATAGATGGGACAACGTATGAGAGAGATGTTGCTGAGAGTGGAGGAGAAAGGTTAGGGAGGAAGTAGGGGAGGGGGGAGAGAGGTGAGGGGAGGTGAGAAAGAGGAGGGAAGTAAGGGAGAGTGTTAGAGAGGGTGGATGCAGTTTGGGGGGAGGTGGGCAAGCAACACCTATGTGTATTTATTTTATTTTGTCAAATGTGAATTTTTTTCTTTTTTGTTTATGTAATTGATAAATGAAAAATAAAAACTTTTTTAGAAGGAAAAAAAAAGGTTGAGAACCACTGTGCTAGAAAATCAAAGTATGATTTCAAATCCTTGTTCAGATTTCAATAGGCTAAGCAAGAATTGTTTGGAGTCAAGTGGCACCTAAGTAGAATACATTCAATTAAATTAAGTTTAAATGGCCGCTACATTTTAAGGAAATGGAAAGAACAAGTTTCAGAGCTCTTCAGGTTAACCACACTGGTTTTTTTAAAAGATTTTTTTTAGTACTTCCTAAAGCGGGACTAGAACTTGGAGCCTCCTAGTGATCAGCCCAAGGTCACCCAGCAGCTTTCATGCCTAATATGGGACTAGAACTCACCATCACCTAGTTCCTAGCGTGGGCCCCTAGCTATCAGATAAACCTGGCTCTAAGTTAACTCTTTTCTGAAATGCAATCCGCCTATTTCTTGACAGCCCTTACAATCTCTGTGAAAGTTTACCCAATCTGATGCCCTCCAGATACTTAATGCTGTTATAGAAGAATTTTCCTAGTTTAAACCAAAAACCAGAACACAATCACACACACACTGAAAATTGGTTCATTGACAGAGCTGGAGGCTGAAAACAAACCCAAAGATGGAAAAGTTTACTACAACTGTTTACAGATTTAAGCAGAGAATGCATGTTACTGGATACAGCAGTGATATCATTAATTGGTTTAGGCAACTATAAGCATTTGTTTGGGCCCAGCATATAACAAACTTAATGCAGTGTTTTACAACCGTAGCAACTTGAGGATAATTCTGGGAATTATAAGTCCACATATTTTATTACAGTTGCGGAAGTTGCAAAATACTGATTTAATGAGATCATTAAGGCATTAGAGAAGCATTTTGGTCTAGTGCAGGGGTCGGCAGCCTTGGCTCTTTTATGACTCGTGGACCAACTCCCAGAATTCCTCAGCCAACATGTGGGAATTATGGCCCCCTTTATGACTCGTGGACTTGAACTCCCAGAATTCCTGAGCCAGCATAGCTCAGCTTGGAAACCTCTCCCTTTTCCCTCAGCATGGCTGGCTCAGGAATTCTGGGAGTTGAAGTCCACAAGGCATAAAAGAGCCAAGGTTGCCTAACCTTGCACTAGATAGAATAGGGCTCTTCAAACTTGGTTCTTTTATGACTCGTGGACTTCAACTCCCAGAATTCCTGAGCCAGCATGGGGGAACTATGGTCCCCTCATGACTCGTGGACTTCATCTCCCAGAATTCCTGAGCCAGCATGGGGGAACTATGGCCCCCTCATGACTCGTGGACTTCAACTCCCAGAATTCCTGAGCCAGCATGGGGGAACTATGGCCCCCTCATGACTCTTGGACTTCAACTCCCAGAATTCCTGAGCCAGCATGAGGGAAATATGGCTCCCTCATGACTCGTGGACTTCAACTCCCAGAATTCCTGAGCCAGCATGGCTCAGCTTGGAAACCTCCCTTTCCCCTCAGCGTGGCTGGCTCAGGAATTCTGGGAGTTGAAGTCCACGAGTCATAAAAGAGCCAAGGTTGCCTACCCCTGGTCTAGTGGTTAAGGCTCCAGGCTAGAAACCAGGAGACGGTGAGTTCTAGTCCCACCTTAGCCATGAAAGTTAGCTGGATGACTTCGAGCCAGTCACTGTCACTCAGCCCAATTCACCTCACAGGGTTGTTGTGGGGAAAATAGGAGGAAGAAGGAATAGTAAGTACGTTTGTTGCTTTATTTATAAAAGTAAGGCGGGGGATGCAAATAAACAGAATAACTATTAGGTAATGCAGCAGAACCAAAAAAAAACAAAAAACCCTATGGGCTTTTGAAAAACAAAGAGACAGCTTTTCATAAACACGGCTTATTTTTAGGAGTTGTTTTCATTTCCAGAGCTTTGTTCAACATCCATGGGGTTTTCCCAGCTTGTCAGTATTCCTTGGCCTTCTAACGTTGTCATGTTCGAGCAGACAGTTTAATTCCCCGGAAAAGATTGAGGATCCCTGATATAGGGCAGGGATGGGGAACCTTGTCTCTTTTATGTCAGGTGGACTTCAACTCCCAGAATCCCTGAGCCAGCCACGCTGAGGGGAAAGGGAGAGGTTTCCAAGCTGAGCCGTGCTGGCTCAGGAATTCTGGGAGTTGAAGTCCATGAGTCATGAGGGGGCCATAGTTCCCCCATGCTGGCTCAGGAATTGTGGGAGTTGAAGTCCCCGAGTCATAAAAGAGCCAAGGTTGCCTACCCTAGACTAGATGGTGGTTTGCACTCCTTTTATGGAAGTATAGACCCCTTTTAGACATTCAGGTTCATCTCCTGTTTTTTGACGTTATCCTCTTCTGCCTAATTATCCAGGTCCATATCCATCCCGATGACTATAATAAACAACGAAAGCCCAGGACCGATTTGTGGAGCTCAGTGTCAACTAAGAAAAACGGTAACTTGAAGGTTAAACACGTTATAGCTTGGCATAAAATATAGCGGTCAACTTATTTGGCTGTTCACTTAGCATGTCGTTACGATGGACACTATTGGAAGCTAAATGTCTACGGAGATTCTCAGGCAGGACAAGAAACAACGGATGGAAAATCGTCAAGGAGAGAAGCAACCTAGAACTAAGGAGAAACTTCCTGACAGTCAGAACAATTAACCAGTGGGACAACCTGCCTCCAGAAACGGTGAATGCTCCAACACTGGAAGTTTTTAAGAAGAGACTGGACAGACATTTGTCTGAAATGGTATAAGGTTTCCTGCCTGAGCCGGGGGTTGGACTAGATGACTTTGGCCTTGGTAAGGCCACACTTGGAATCCTGCATCCAGTTTTGGTCACCACAATGTAAAAAAGATATTGAGACTCTAGAAAGAGTACAGAGAAGAGCAGCAAAGATGATCAGGGGACTGGAGGCTAAAACATATAAGGAACTGCTGCTGGAATTGGGTAGGTCTAGTTTAATGAAGAGAAGGACGAGGGGGGTCATGATAGCAGTCTCAGGGGCTGCCACAAAGAAGAGGGAATCAAGCTATTTTCCAAGGCGCCTGAAGGCAGGACAGGAAGCAATGGATGGAAACTCATCAAGGAGAGAAGCAACCTAGAACTAAGGAGAAACTTCCTGACAGTGAGAACAATTAACCAGTGGAACAACCTGCCTCCAGAAGCAGTGAATGCTCCAACACTAGAAGTTTTTAAGAAGAGACTGGACAGCCATTTGTCCGAAATGGTTTAGGGTTTCCTGCCTGAGCAGGGGGTTGGACTAGATGACCTCCAAGGTCCCTTCCAACTTTACTATTATTATTATTTATCATCATCATCATCCAGGTTCTAGTTGTCTCCAAGGTGCTTTTTCCAAAGGCAACTGGGCTACGTTTCTCCTTGAGAAAGAAGTTTCGCTTCTCGTTTCAAGAAACCTCCATCGGTTGTGACTGGATGATGGGATCCCCTTTTCCTTCCATCGCCCCCGCCATCCTGCCGGAACCCGACGAAGCTTCTTGAAGGAGAAGCAAAACATTGTCATTGTCTTCTTCCTCGGTGAGAAACAGTCCGGTTGCCTTTTGGAAAAAAAAAAAAAAGAGCACCTTTGAGGCAAGCACTGCTCGTCCTCAACGTACGAAGCCAGTTGAGCCCCAAAATTTATTTCGGTAAGCGAGACGGATATTAAGTGACTCTGACAACCTTGCTTACCCCCGGTTGTTAGGTGAATCTCTGTTAGTAACATAGTTGTGAAGTGAATCTGGCTTCCCCGTGGACCTTGCTGACCATAAGGTCGCAAAAAGGGGACAGACTGCAGCCGTCATAAAGAGGAGTCGGTTGCCAAGCGTCTGAATTTGGAGCACGTGACCACAGGGGATGCTGCAACGGTCGTTAAGTGTGACAAACAGTCGCAAGTCACTTTCTCCAGGGTCGTTGTTTACTTCAAATGGTCACTAAGTGAGCCTTTAAGTCGAGGACTACCTGTACAGAACTTCTGGCTAGTTCTGTGTACTTTGCTTCCCCTTTGTGTGAGGGCAGAACCAAATCAATGATGCAATTGAAATATAGGATGGCTTCATATAGTGCAGGGATGTCAAACTCAATTTCACTGAGGGCCGTATCAACATTGCTCTGGGGGGGTGTGTGTGGCCAGGGTGGGTGCAGTCTACTGGGTAGACGTGGATGGGGTGGTTGTGGCCTACTGGGTGGGTGTGGCCAGCTCTACATCATTAGCGTCAAGGGTGCCTGTGGGGGCCTGGGCAGGAGTGGGACAGATCTGAGGGTCTCTGGTAGAAGGGGGTGGGACCGGGGCAAGCGCCAAGGCATGGTCCACCGGGGCAAGTGCCAAGATGGCCACCACAAAATTGTACATTGGCTCCCAGCTAGCCTGGGCCAGGGCCAAGGCAACGGGGGCCGTTCCCTCACTGTTTCCAGGATGGCTTCGCAGGCTACATGAAATCACTTCGTGGGCCAAATCCGACCCGCGGGCCTTGTGTTTGACATATCTGATATAGTGCACTGATGACGTTACCTAGTTGGATAATGAAATGCATGTATTAAAGCAACCAAGCCCAGAGAACGCCAGGGACACTGAAGATCTGATGTGGGCCAGAGAAAAAGTGGGAAATGATTGCATTTAGTTCATCCTAGCGCAGTGGTTCTCAACCTGTGGGTCGGGACCCCATTTGGGGTCGAACGACCATTTCACGGGGGTCGCCAAACAACACAGTCCGCCATTTTTTCCCCCTTTTCCTTAGCTGTGCTACTCCCTTTTATTCTGTTGGCTTTTGAAAGCCAATAGAATAGACTCTCTTGAATAGAGTCTAATTCTATTGGCTTTCAAAAGCCAATAGGAATTGTCCAGGCTGTCTCTGCCCTGCTGAGCCCACCAAAAGCCCCAGTCTGCAAACGGTGCTGCACCAGTTGAGTAGTCCTCGACTTACGACCGGTTGAGTAGTCCTCGACTTACGACCAGTTGGGAGGTTGCAGCATTAAAAAGGTTGAGAACCACTGTCCTAGCAGGTTAGGAAGATGAAATCACTCCAGGCTTATAGATACTTGGCATGTAAAAGCATGCAAGTAATTACCTTCCTTCTTTAATTTGATACTCGATGGTGCTCTAATACGGGGGTCTTCAAACCTGGCCCTTTTATGACTTGCGGACTTCAACTCCCAGAATTCTGGCTGAGGAATTCTGGGAGTTGAAGTCCACAAGTCATGAAAGGGCCCAGTTGTGAAGACCCCTCCTCTTAACCTTTTGTCTTGGTATTCGTTTGATACAGGGAAGATCTTGAGTTACTGGTGTTTCAGCCCCGGATTCAGCATGCACGAGTTGGTTCGTCAGGGAGTCCGTAGCATCATTCTGACGAGTGGCACCCTTTTCCCACTTTCTTCTTTCGCTTTGGAGATGCAGATGTGAGTCCTGTTGATTTCATTTTGGAATTAATTTAAAATAATTAATAGGCCGCTTCAGTCCAGGTGACCCTAAACCAGGGGTCGGGAACCTTAAACACTCAAAGAGCCACTTGGACCTGTTTCCCAGAGAAAAGAAAACACTGGGACACAAAACTTGCATGCGCGTGTGCGCACAAGGTGGGGGGGGGGAACTCGATTGAAGAGTTGAATTAAAAAGAAATAAAGGCTGCTGTGCATGAGAAGTGAAATGTCTTCGAGGAAAAAGAAAGGAAGTTCAATTGCCTCCTGAAAAAGCACCTTTGGGACCCATATACTTAAGGATAAACTTTTCCAAGTAATGTCCTATTTCTTGTCCCAGGAGATCTGCAGCCTCAATTCCGAGACTTTAAAGATCTTCCAGGAAACCGTTTTCAAAGCTTCCTGAAGATTTTGAAAGTGGGAGAGTCCCCTGGTCTCCCAGGGCAATCTATGGGAGATCGGCCTCCAGACAAAAACCAACTCTGTAAAGGAAATGGTTGTTTGGACGCAATTTGCCCTGGGAATCAGAATAATATTGACAGTAGGGAAACCGAAAAGGAAAAAATCAGGGATTTTCCATAGTTGCCATTATCTCTCCGATTCCTGTTAACAGAACAATGTGTTTATTTTCTTTTGCGATTGTCAAGAAATCTTTTTGCCCCACCTACCGTAATTGTTATATTTACTCTGATACAACTCAAACTTGGCTCGCCAACAGTCAGTTTTGTGGTGTGCGGAAATGTCATTGAACACTTGACAATTTTATCATGCCTTACTGGACTTATCTTGCCTGTAAAAAAAGCCGGAAATTTCTGGGTTCAAATGCAGATAACAAATAGAAAGAATTGTAAAGATCAACATTCAGCTTTAAGCAGAACTTTACTTACTGGGATTAATGGACAGCCAGTTAAAAAAAAAAGGCCCCTAGGAGATTATTCTTGTTTGTTTGTTTGTTGTTCATGTTTCTAGACTGCTCATCTCCTTCAAATAATAGAATAGAATGGAATGGAATGGAATATAGAATAGAGTAGAGTAGAGTAGAATAGAATAGAATAGAATAGAATAGAATAGAACAGAACAGAATAAACAGATTGTAGAATAGAATTAGAATAGAATAGACAGATTGTAGAATAGAATTAGAATAGAATAGAATAGAATAGACAGATTGTAGAATAGAATAGAATAGAATAGAATAGACACTGTAGAATAGAATAGAATAGAATAGAATAGACAGACTAGAATAGAATTAGAATAGAATAGACAGATTGTAGAATAGAATTAGAATAGAATAGAATAGAATAGAATAGACAGATTGTAGAATAAAATAGAATAGAATAGACAGACTGTAGAATAGAATAGACAGACTGTAGAATAGAATAGAATAGAATAGACAGATTGTAGAATAGAATAGAATAGACAGACTGTAGAATAGAATAGAATAGAATAGAATAGACAGATTGTAGAATAGAATAGAATAGACAGACTGTAGAATAGAATAGAGTAGAATAGATAGATTGTAGAATAGAATAGAATAGAATAGAATAGAATAGAATAGAATAGAATAGAACAGAATAGACAGATTGTAGAATAGAATAGAAAACAAATAGAACAGAATAGAGTTTTATTTATACTTGATTACTGTACGGGACTATTATATGTTGTTGTCATTGTTCAGTCGCTAAGTCATGTCTGACTCTTCATGACCCTATGGACAACAGCACACCAGGTTTGCCTGTCCTCCATTGTCTCCTGGAGTTTGCCCAAATTCATGTCCATTGTATCAATGACCCTATCTAACCATCTCATCCTCTGCCATCCCTTTCTCCTTTGGCCTTCCATCTTTCGGCCCTTTTATGACTTGTGGACTTCAACTCCCAGAAGTCATAAAAGGGCCAAGTTTGAAGAGCCCTGCTCTTTCCCAACATCAGGACCTTCTCCAGGGAGTCCTCCCTTCTCCTTAGGTGGCCAAATTATTTGAGCCTTCAGCTTCCGGATCTGTCCTTCCAAAGGAAAGTCAGGGTTGATCCCCTTTAGGATTGACTGATTGGATCTCCTTGCAATCCAAAAGAATCTCTCAAGAGTTTTCTCCAGGCCCATAATTTGAAAGCATTGATTCTTCCACGTTCAGCTTTCCGTATGGTGCAAGTCTCGTAGCCATACATTGCTCCTGGAAAAACCATAGCTTTGACTCCTCACCTTTGTTGGCAAGGTAACTCTCATTAACTCATACACAATGTGAATTTTAAGTTGTTCTATTTGATGTGAAGACTCTGATAAATGTATATGAACCTCAACAGATGTTCTGCAGCAGCATCTAAGTCTGAATCCAATTTTTTTGCTTTGGAACTGATTTCATCAGTTGCAATCTTTACTTCTACACCTCCTTATTTTAGAAAAATTAATGTCCACTTCAAATCATCATGTACTACCCCGGCCAATTCTCTGCATGATATATGTGGGAAAAGATGTTCTTTTCCTTCCTGTTCTATTTTTATTACTCTGGATAATAAGAATAGAATGGACTTATTTAATACAGGATGAAGATTACAATTGATGCAAGCCAATAACGTGATTTGGAAAAAACAGCTTCCTTAGGGAAAGGAATTCTCTTTTCCTCCTGTGAAAAATGTTAAGTGTCCTTCCTCTTAGTGCAGTGGTTCTCAACCTGTGGGTCGGGACCCCATTTGGGGTCGAACGACCATTTCACGGGGGTCGCCAAACAACGCAGTCTGCCATTTCCCCCCCCCCCCCTTTTCCTTAGCTGTGCTACTCCCTTTTATTCTATTGGCTTTTGAAAGCCAATAGAATAGACTCTCTTGAATAGAGTCTAATTCTATTGGCTTTCAAAAGCCAATAGGAATTGTCCAGGCTGTGTCTGCCCTGCTGAGCCCACCAAAAGTCCCATTCTGCAAACGGTGCTGCACCAGTTGAGTAGTCCTCGACTTACGATCGGTTGAGTAGTCCTCGACTTACGACCAATTGGGGGTCGCGGCACTAAAAAGGTTGAGAACCACTGTCTTAGTGAAATGAAAAACAATGACTATTGGAGTTATTATCATGAAGTTCCAACTGCAGGTGATTTGGGAGCATTTGAAGCATTAGCGCATCTAGATGCCGTATATACAAATACTTTTTTGCACTAGTATTTCCTGTGCATTTCCACGTTTTAATGTTCTGAATGACACATTCATCCAAGAGATTTGGCAAGGGAGAATAAGACCCTCGCTTTATCAGGCCTGTCATATTTTTTCCTTTCTATTTTAAGTTACCGTATTTCCGCCGTATAAGACGACTTTCGAAAGCGTTGAAAGTCGGGGGTCGTCTTATACGCCGGAAATAATGGTAGTTTCCGGCGTATAAGACGACTTTCTAGGCATGCAACCTGGCGCCGAAGTCGGGGGTCGTCTTATACGCCGGGTCGCCTTATATGCCGGAAAATACGGTATGTCGTTGAAAGTTGTGAACTGTGTTAAATCATTTATTCGCTAAGGATGGTGATTGTAACCCGAATTTCCCTCACCAAAGTAATGTCATAAAGCACAACGTCCATCACATTATTTAGTGACAGACATTTGAGCGATCCCCATTGGTATTGTTAATTGAATTCCCCTGGTGGGGACCCCCTCCAATCCAAGCCATTCCTGACTTGTTTCCTCTCAGCCCTCAGTAAAATAAGGGACTTTCTCCTCTTGAAGTCCCCCCATCTGCCTAGCTCAGGGGTGGCGAACCTATGGCACACGTGCCAGAGGCGGCACTCGGAGCCCTCTCTGTGGGCACACGTGCCATCGCCCCAGCCCCGCCTCCCTCCATGACCCCCTCCTCTCCAGCAGCCCCCCTGGAGGAGAATTGTCCCCGGGCACAGCCCGCATGGAGCAGCGCAGCCAAGGACATAGGCGGGCAGCCTGACAAGACTCCGCCCTCATGCCCCAAAGCGTGCAGATGATGCTGCGGGGTGTGGGCGGAGGGCGTGGCTGCCATGGCGCTGCAGGGCTGCCTGGGCGATCTGCAGCGGGCTGTGGAGGAGGTGCGTGGCCCTGCGGGTGGGCGGGGCAGGAAGTGGGTGGGGCGGAACAGGTAGGGTAGGGGGCGATTCGGTCTCTAAAAGGTTCGCCATCACTGGCCTAGCTCCTCCCCCTGCTCTTTTGGCTGCCCTGCATAGTGACATGCTTCAGCAGCAGTGGCAGCTCTGGGATGGTGGCGTGAAACAGGGCACATAACTGAGGAGTCTGTAGGAATGAATGAATGAATGAACACATATAGGCAGTCCTTGTCTTAGGACCACAACTGAGCCCAAGATATTTCTGTTGCTGAGTGAGACGGCTGTTAAGTGAGTTTTCTCCCATTTTGCAACCTGTCTTGCCGCCTTGTTGAGCGAATCGCTGCAGCCGTTAAGCTAGTCACACGGTTGTTCAAGTGAATTTGGCTTCCCCATGGACTTGGCATGTCCGAAGGTCGCCAAAGGGGGTCACGTGACACACACCCCTGAGACACTGCAACCGTCATAAATATGAGCCAGTTGCCAAGTGTCTGAATTTTGGTCACATGAGCCTGAGGATGCTGCAAGGGTCATGTGAACAACAGCCATAAGTCACTTTTTTTCAACGCCGTTGTAACTTTGAACGGTCACTAAATGAACTGTTGTAAGTCGAGGGCTACCCGCAATGGTACTGCAGATTTCCTAGATTTCTTAAGAAGCTACAGGTGGCCGCCTTCTCATCTGCCTGGTTTCAGGAACTAAATAGACAAGCGTTAAGCCACGAAGCTCCTCTCTATAATATGTTGATTACATCGTGTTCACTTTCTCCTTTTCTTTAGACCGTTCCCAGTTTGTTTGGAAAACCCACATGTGATTGATAAACATCAAATTTGTATAGGGATCATCCCCAAGGGACCGGATGGAAAATTGATGTGCTCCACTTACAATTACAGGTAATGAATTATTTCCTGTTTGGTATTCTCCAGCTGTTTTTTTTTTTTTTTTAAATGATGACGATGGTGGAGATGGTGATGTTCACTTTAAGCATTCAAGGAGAAATATGCACCGATAGAAGTGCTTTACACAGAATAGTATCCTGGCTATACATTTTAACCAATAGAAGAGAATATTTTAAGCTCAGCATTGAACTGTGGGCTTGCAGACATTTCATTACCCTACTAGATAACAGCATCAGTGCTGGAAGGGAGTGGGGCTTTTGAGGAGGAGGTAGAGTCCTTGGTGCTCTCTGAGCTTGGTTTTCTTGCAGACATTTCATTACCCTACTAGGTAACAGCATCAGTGATAGACAGGAGTGGGATTTGCTGATATATAAGTGGCTTGCCCTTTCAGGGTTGGTGGGAGTTCCTTGAATAGCCTGTTGTTTACTGTCTGAATATTTCCCTGATTACAATTTGGCTGTTGGTCTAGTGTTGATCTGGGTGTTAATCTCTGCTTATCTGGGTATTGATTGCTGACATTGCTTGGGGTAATTTAGCCTCAATTTCACTTGCTCCTGGGGAGGAAAGCTATGGCAAATCTAGACAGCATACTAAAAAGCAGAGACGTCACCCTGCCAAAAAAAAGTGCGTACAGTCAAGGCCATGGTTTTCCCAGTTGCAATGTATGGCTGTGAAAGTTGGACCATAAGAAAGGCTGAGCCCAAAAGAATGGAGGACTTTGAACTCTGCTGCTGGAGAAGACTCCTGCGAGTCCCCTGGACTGCAAGACGATCCAACCGGTCAGTCCTGGAGGAGATCAACCCTGACTGCTCTTTAGAAGGCCAGATCCTGAAGTGGAAACTCAAGGACTTTGGCCACCTAATGAGAAGGAGGACTCCCTGGAGAAGAGCCTGATGCTGGGAAAGATGGAGGGCAAGAGAAGAAGGGGACGACAGAGAATGAGGTGGTTGGATGGAATCCATGAAGCAGGAGGCGTGAGCTTCAATGGACTCCAGAAGATGGTAGAGGACAGGAAGGCCCGGAGGAACGTTGTCCATGGGGTCGCAATGGGTCGGACACGACTTTGCAACTAACAACAAGGTGTTTTGGTCTTTTAATTTCTTTTATAGCTACTTGATTGACTCTTACATTCATATGAATACCTTTTACATGTAGACATTACCCATTTGAACTCCAGGCATTACTGAATATCTGAGTTCCTTGATTCTGAGAGCTTACCACTCTGGTTTTCTTTGATACACAGCATCAGGAAGTCAAAGGAGGGTCTGTTGCTTGGGATCAGGGCTAGCCCTCGATGGAGTCAACCCTTTCCCCTTGAGTTCATCCCCACAAGACAACACAAAATACACCCCCAGATCCAAATGATGAGCAGTTCAGTGAAGCTGTTGACGCTGTGTGTACGGGCTGTAGGAAAAGGTTAACAGCATACAGGTAGTCCTCGACGTACGACCACAATTGAGCCCAAACCTTCTGTTGTTGAACGGGACAGCTGTTAAGTGAAATTTTGCCCCGTCTTATGACCTTTCTTGCCACAATCGTAGGCGAATCGCCATAGTTGTTACGTTTAGTAACAAGGTTGATACAAGGAATCTGGCTTCCCCATTTATTTGGTTGCCAGAAGGGCGCAAAAGGTGATCATGTGACCCCTGGACAAGGCAAGCGTCATAAATAGGAGTCGGTTGGCCAGGTGTCTGGATGTTGATCACGTGACCATGGGGGTGCTGCAACGGTCATGTGAAAACACAGTCACCAGTCACTTCTTTCAGTCCCGTTATAACGCCAAATGGTCGCTTAAATGAACCGTTGTAAGTCGAGGACTGCCTGTATTAGGGTTGTGATTCCTCGCCAGCCAGTGGATCCGGCAGCTGAGTCTGAGGAATCGGAGGAGGAGGACATCAGAGGAGGAGGAAGGCTGTGAGGAGCGCCAAGACTTACAGTTGGACCAGGAGCCCCTAGCCCAGTGGTGGCGAACCTATGGCATGCGTGCCAGAGGCGGCACTCAGAGCCCTCTCTGTGGGCATACCTGCTGTTGCCCCAGCCCCTCCTTCTCTAGTGGCCCCCATCTCACCAGCAGCTCCCCCCCCCCGGAGGAGAGTTGCCTCTGGGCGCGGTCCGCACGGAGCAGCGCAGCCAAGGACATGGCAAATTTCTCAGCAACGTAAATTCTGGGCTCAACTGTGGTCGTAGGTTGAGGACTACCTGTAGGTATGGTCTGGATCAGACATGTCAAACACAAGGCCCGGAGGCCGGATGCGGTCCGCAAAGGGGTTTCATATGGCCCGCGAAGCCATCCTGGAAACAGTGAGGGAACGGCCCCCGCTGCCTTGGCCCTGGCCCAGGCCGGCCGGGAGCCAATGTACAGTTTTGTGGTAGCCATCTTGGCACTTGACCTGGTGGACCCTGCCTTGGCATTTGACCCGGTCCCACCCCCTTCTGCCAGAGACCCTCAGATCTGTCCCACTCCTGCCCAGGCCCCCCATAAGCATTCTTGACGCGAACGATGTAGAACTGGCCACACCCATCCAGTAGGCCACACCCACTCCATCCACGCCCACCCATTAGGCTGCACCCAACCTGGCCACACCCCCCCACACCCCCCCAGGGCAACCACAGTGCTGATGCGGCCCTCAGTGAAATTGAGTTTGACACCCCTGGTCTGGATCAAATGGACAAGGAGAAGCTATTTCCCCTTGCCCCCCCCCAAAATTAGAATTAGAGATCACCCAATAAAATTGGATTGTGGAAGACTTTGGCCAGATAAAGAAGTTTTTTTTTCTTTTCTTTACACAACACATAAGTCAAGTTTGGAATTTACTTCTGTGAAATGTGGTGCAGACGTCCCCCCCAAAAAAAGACTGGAGCAATTAATGAGGTGATGGGGAACAGCGGCTCTTCACTTTGACGATAATGGAGCTGCCGGTGAACTCGTCTGCTGAGAGACGAATGGACTGTCCCTTGGAGACTGCCCTTTGTGGTAGTCCGAACAAGGGAACCCACGTCACAACAACTCATGCTGCTTTTATTGTCAACTGAACGGTAACACACCTTTTAAGTTCCAGAGGAAGTAAGGAGGTGAGTATTAGGCGACCCCCGTCTTTATCGCCGAGTCGCCTTCCTAGAATGAGGGAACGGCCCCCGTCTTTGGCGTACCAGTATTTTCGGCGTATAAGACGACTCGGCGTATAAGGCGACCCCCGTCTTTGGCGCCGAGTTTAGCGCTTCCGGAAGTCGTCTTATACGCCGGCATATACGGTATTTCTCAAAAATGACATCCTATGGTTTGGATTCAAACTGACTGTTGTACAGGCTGTAGCTCTTTCTTCTGTCTCTCAGATTGCTCTCACCGCTCATTATGTCTGGCCGTTGTAAGGAGAGGCTGTTGAACTAAAGGCACGATCCATCAGGACTCTGCCGATATTTCTGTGCTTCTGCAAGTGGGAATGGGTGTGTGCTTGCCTGCCTCTTCCACAGCCCAGTTCCGAACGGCTCAAAGACCCGGTAGTGGGCCGTGTCCCGGAGGTTGGGGACCCCTGCTTTAAACCAATCACATAGCCGCCCCCCTAAACCAAACCATTTCGAATGCTTAACATTTCTCCAGTTGGACTAATCCAGGGGTAGGGAACCTTGGCTCTTTTATGACTCGTGGACTTCAACTCCCAGAATTCCTGAGCCAGCATGGGGGAACTATGGCCCCCTCATGACTCGTGGACTTCAACTCCCAGAATTCCTGAGCCAGCATGGGGAACTATGGTCCCCTCATGACTCGTGGACTTCAACTCCCAGAATTCCTCAGCCAGCACGGGGAAACTATGGTCCCCTCATGACTCGTGGACTTCAACTCCCAGAATTCCTGAGCCAGCATAGGGGAACTATGGCCCCCTCATGACTCGTGGACTTCAACTCCCAGAATTCCTGAGCCAGCATGGTTCAGCTTGGAAAACTCCCTTTCCCCTCAGCATGGCTGGCTCAGGAATTCTGGGAGTTGAAGTCCACAAGTCATCAAAGAGCCAAGGTTGCCTACCCCTGACTTAGATAGTATAGGGCTCTTCAACGTTGGCTCTTTTATGACTCATGGACTTCAACTCCCAGAATTCCTGAGCCAGCATGGGGGAACTATGGCCCCCTAATGACTCGTGGACTTCAACTCCCAGAATTCCTCAGCCAGCATGGCTGAGCTTGGAAACCTCTCCCTTTCCCCTCAGCGTGGCTGGCTCAGGAATTCTGGGAGTTGAAGTCCACGAGTCATAAAAGAGCCACGGTTGCCTACCCCTGACCTAGTTACATTGGCAGCGTTATCATTTTCCTACATTTAATTCTCCTCGCTTTGCACAAAACTTCTTGTTTTGCCCTTCTCTTGCTGCGTAGCTTGAGTGACTCCTATATCATTTCCTCTCTTGAATTTTAACTAAAGATGGGATTTAATTGCCACAATAATGTAAATGTGTTTCCATATGCTAATCCAGAGGTGTCAAATTCAATTTCATTGAGGGCCACATCAGGATTGTGGTTGCCCTCGGGTGGGCGTGGCCTGGGTGGGTGCAGCCTACTGAGTGGGCATGGATGGAATGGGTGTAGCCTACTGGGTGGGCATGGCCAGCTCTACATCGTTGGCGTCAAGGGTGCCTGTAGGGGCCTGGGCAGGAGTGGGACAGATCTGAGGGTCTCTGGCAGAAGGGGGTGGGACCAGGGCAAGCGCCAAGGCATGGTGCATTTCTTCATTCCTCACAAAGAGTGACACCTCCCCAGCATGCACCCAGGAGGTGGGGTCGACGCACCAGGGGCCGGTTCCTCCCTGTTTCCAGACGGCCTTGTGGAGCTAAGACTGAATGTGTTTCAGCAGAGATGGCCACCACAAAATTATACATTGGCTCCCGGCAGCGGGGGCCGTTCCTTCACTGTTTCCAGGATGGCTTCACGGGCCACATGAAGCCACTTCGCAGGCCGCATCCAGCCCCCGGGCCTTGTGTTTGACATGTCTGTGCTAGTCGAAGACTAAGTGGAAAGCAGTTTTAGCAAATTTCCCCCAGAAATTAATGACCTTCGTCCTAACAACCTGAAAGCTGCATACTGATGGGATTCCTTCTCTCTTTATTTACAGATCTACACCAGATTGTCTGTCTTCTACTGGGCAAACCATAGGTAAAGCAGAAAGAATCTGGGTCCAAGTCAGATGTCAGCTGTACAAATGAGCTTAACTGCCGCCGTTTTTTCTTCTCGTTCTAGGTTGCCACATAGAACCGATATATGTGTTTCAAAAAGAACTTGGTTAGCTTCTGGGCATAGGGAAGTCCTGAGCAAGGGATGAAATGCACTGGCTTGGAATCTCTTTTCCATGCCCAGTTCACGGGGCTAAATTGTCTGTCGGAACCATGACGTCAGGACTGAATGGCGCAATGCAGCTGATAGGGTACACAGCTAAAGGAGCAGAATAAGTGAGGGTTGAAGGAGGAAACGACCCAAAACGCTGACATTACCTGCACCGTGTCTGTCACTGATCAGTGGTTCTCAACCTGTGGGTTGGGACCCCATTTGGGGTCGAACGACCATTTCACGGGGGTCGCCAAACAACACAGTCCGCCATTTTTTTCCCCCTTTTCCTTAGCTGTGCTACTTCCTTTTATTCTGTTGGCTTTTGAAAGCCAATAGAATAGACTCTCTTGAATAGACTCTAATTCTATTGGCTTTCAAAAGCCAATAGGAATTGTCCAGGCTGCCTCTGCCCTGCGCTGCACCAGTTGAGTAGTCCTCGACTTACGACCGGTTGGGGGTCGCGGCATTAAAAAGGTTGAGAACTACTGCTCTTGAGTGAGGTGGCCGGTTCAAAAATGTGAAAAATAAATTATGACGCGTACACACAGACACACACATGTATGTATATGTGTATGTGTGTACATTGTGTGCGTGAGACCACATGCACACAACCATCCCCAAATTATCCTTTTAGAGGTCAAGGCCTAATCAGTCAGTCAAGGACCTGAGAATCTCTTTTAAGATTTCAGTCTGGACAATTCTTCAGTGTCTTCTCCTTGAGTCAGCGGTGCAAAAATTGCGAATTACTTAATGTTGAGAATGACTTCTCAGATTCCGTGGGAGTCCTACAGTTGGAATGACTTTAGATGCCATTTAGTTCAGAGAACCCTTACAACAGGGGTCTCCACACTTGGCCACTTTAAGACTTGTGGACTTCAACTCCCAGAATTCCTCAGCCAGCCATGCTGGCTGAGGAATTCTGGGAGTTGGAGTCCACAAGTCTTAAAGTGGCCAAGTTTGGAGACCCCTGTCTTACAACATCACCAAGTAGTGGGCGTCCAAGCTCACCCTAACATACAGTAGTGGCCAAAATTGTGGAAACCTTTTGGGAAAAGTGTATTTTTGAGGTTTGATGGCTAATAACACCACTTTTTTTTGGAGTAGTACCATAAGATTATATATCACTGGAAAGATAATTTAATCAAGAATGTAGTGCAACAAAGTTTGTTCAATTATCTGTACTGTATTCTATGAAAAATTATAGCCAAATAACCGGAAAAAGGAAGCACAACTTGCTTAGGTTGATATCGGAGCTTTCCTTCATCAGACTGTAGCCAATGGGCATGAGGGTTTAGAGAGCCAATCGGGTGTCGTCTTGTTTTGGCAATGAGCCAATCAGATCACAGTAGGATCCAGTGATTGATGTCCTGTATTGAAGCTTAGAGGAGGACATTTGTCAGAGTGTTATGTGATGGCTATCAGGTCAATGGGGTTTCTTTGTGTTCTTTCACTGAGTGAGCTTGTAAAATGTAATAAAATTAAAGTCACGGTGCAAAGAGTTGACTGGTCACCCAGAGAGCGATGTAAAATAGTATTAAGTGAACAAGGCTACAGCTATAAAGAAATTAGAAGAAAAATGGGTGGAAACGTAACGAAAGCTGGCATTTCTACTGTACACTTTTCCCAAAAGGTTTCCACAATTTTGGCCACGACTGTATGGCAGCCTCTTGTGTTGGCTGAGAGCTTGTACAGTTAGGGAGCCCCTTCTGACTTATTTATTCCCACACCACAACATTCTAGGGATAGGAGGAAAATTGCTGAGAGACAGAGACTTTGCTTTATTGAGAATAGTGCTGTAGCAAAGTATAGATAGTCCTTGACATGCAGCCATTTGTTTAGTGACCGAAGTTACTAAACAAATGGCTGAAAAAAAAAAGCGACTTACAAGTTACCAATGCTTGTGCTTACAACCATCGCACTATCCAATGGTGGGATTCAGCCGGTTCGCACCAGTTCGGCAGAACCGGTAGCTAATTTTTTGTTACCCAGGCCCAGAATAGACTTCCGGAAACGGCATCCACACACAGAGAACCGGTTGTTCCCATATTTGAATCCCACCACTGGCGCTATCCCATGGTCATGTGATCAAAATTCAAACACTTGGCAACTGACGTGCATTTACGACGATTTGCATATGCAACGTGATCACCCATTTGCAACCTTTTCAACTGGCTTCTGACAAAGTCAGCGGGAGAAACCGGATTTGCTTAGTGACGGTACGATTCACTTAGCAATTGCAGTGATTTGCTTAATAAAAAATATTAAATATCGCAAAGTGGGATGCAATTCACTGATCAAAACTGGCTTTGCTTAACAACATAAATTCTGGTCCCCAATTGTGGCCGTAAGTCAAGAACTGCCCGTAGATCAGAAGAGGAATGTCCAAAGGTATTTAAAAAAAGCAAATGTTATCTCAGTACTGAGGTCAGATCAAACTGGTTTAACTCGCTCTCTCTGTTTTTTATTGCAGTTAATCTTGCACGAATAATACCAAATGGACTCCTGGTGTTTTTTCCTTCATATCCGGTCATGAATAATAACCTGGAATTTTGGAGAGTAAGTTTCCGTTTTGGGGAATCAGACTAGCCCTTAGATCGGGGGGGGGGGTCTCCAAATTTGGAACTTTATAAGACTTTGGATTTCAACTTCAACAGTCTGGCTGGGAAATTCTGGGAGTTGAAGTCCACAAGTCTAAAAGTGGCCAAGTTTGAAGACTTCTCCCTTATAAATATGATGGGGGAGTTCTCCCTATTTTTATTTTAATCTAATCTCTTCTGTTTCTGCTCTGCTAGACCCATGATATTGCCAGAAAAATAGAAGCACTGAAGCCAATGTTTGTAGAACCGAAACACAAAGGAGCATTCACAGAGGTCAGTGAGATTTCCTCATACTTTATTTTTTTTCCTAGGAAATCACTTCTCTTTCAGAAGCCTTGCCCAGTCAGCTCCCTTTGAGATTTCGTATTAATTGGCTTAGTGATAGATTCAAAAGCTTTCATAAATTTGACCCTCGGCTTGTTGACTAAAGAAGAATATTGGGCCAAGAAAGATATAAAATGTTAAGTGGGCCAAAACATAGTCATAATATTAGGTGATGATAGTTTAATGCTTTGAGATTCCATAAGGGTCATGCCTCAAGACTGCTGAGAAAGAGATTCTCCCAGAATTGGTCCTTGAATGGAGATTGAGCATAGAAGAGTGTACGGACAAGTCCTTCTCAGTCTTCTGGATAACGTTTTTCAATTCTCCAAGATGCTTGGGGTTCTGCTTCTTCAAAACTGAAGAAACGTCTTGGATGAGAAGCAAAATGTTTTCAAAGAAATCCCCAAGAAAGTGCAGTTGCCTTTTGAAAAAGCACCTTTGGGACAACCATAACCTGGATGATTGAGAATCTCCATAGACACAAAGCCACTGTGCCAGTGGTGGCGAACCTATGGCAAAGGTGCCGGAGGCGGCACTCGGAGCCCTCTCTGTGGGCACACGTGCTGTTGCCCCGGCCCTGCCTCCCCCCACGACCCCCTCCTCTCCAGCAGCCCCTCTGAAGGAGACTCGCCCTCGAGCGTGGCCCACACGGAGCAGCGTAGCCAAGGACATGGCAGCCAGGCAGCGTAGACAAGACTCTGCCCTCGTACCCCATCATGCAGTTTATGCTGCAGGACGCGGGCAGAGAGTGTGGCCACCATAGCGCTGCTGGGCTGCCTGGGTGATCCGTGGTGGGCCCTGGAGGCAGTGAGTGGTCCTGTGGGCAGGTGGGGCAGGGGATGGGGCAGCAGGGCAGGGGCGGGGTGAGGGGGTGGAGCGGGGCCAGTTTTTGGGCACTCGGTCTCTAAAAGGTTCGCCATCACTGACAATGCTGTCCCCGCTCACTCACATACATAGAAATTTATTAATATTCCCCAGCAATTTCCTTCATCAAAAACCCAGACTGTCCCAATTAAGTCTAGCCAAAAGCAGACCGATGCTAGTCCATAGAGCAGGGGTCTTGAAACTTGGCCTTTTGATGACTTGTGGACTTCAACTCCCAGAATTCCTCAGCTAGGCATGCTGGCTGGGGAATTCTGGGAGTTGAAGTCCACAAGTCATCAAAGGGCCAAGTTTGAAGACCCGTACCATAGAGCAATGGCCAATGAGTCCACAAGGCACTTGAAAGTTTCCCAAACAAGACAAATCTACCAGGCAAAATTAAATCCACAACACAAGAGAAAGAAAAGTCAGACTTCACAGGGCATGATCCAAAATCAAGGCATGGAGTCAATCCAAAGCAAGGCAGGGATCACAACAACCAAGAAACAGGCAGCTAGGAAATGAACGCATTATCCCCAACATCATCTCCATCTGTCTGCTTGCTAAATAGCCAGCTTCTGGTGCAGCCCATCAAGAGGGATAGGGCTGCCTCCTCACAAGTAGTTGGGCTGACCTTCACTGCTCCTGCCTTTTCTCTGCCCTACATGTTCCCGGATCAGGTGCAAAAGGCACTTCCTTCTCTCATTCCTGACCAGCTGCAGCTGCACACTTTCCCCCACCTGAAGCCATGGGCCTGTCCTGCTGCAGCTGTGCTTCAGCCAACTCCCTTTCATCCGGCTGCTGAGAGCCATTGACCAACTCCCCTCCTGACGCGCCCAGGACTGGTTCATTCTCCTCCAAACTGACATCTGGAGAGGTATCTGGGAGAATCATCACAACCACAGAACCATTTTTTTATACCTTTCCTGAAGGTGCCCTGTCTTACCTCCGGGCAGAGGGAGACTGTCCCATAGGGAGGGTGCAATGGCAACAGTCTTCCTGAACCCCCCCCCCCCCGCCAGTTGGACTTCTTTGGTTGAGTCCACCACATACCTGATGGGATGGACTAATACAGGGGTGTCAAACTCGCAACGTCACATGATGTGTCGTGACGTATCGTGACTTTTTCTCCATTGCCGGCGATGGGGTGGGCACGGTTTCGGCATGACGCGTCCAGCCCCTGGGCCGGCAGTTTGACATCCCTGGGCTAATATAACAGGACAAAAATGATTCCATAGGTCATTTTATTTATTTATTTATTTATTTAGAACAAGGGGAGGGAACTGTGGCCCGTTTATGACTTGTGGACTGGTTGGCTCAGGAATTCGGGGAGTTGAAGTCCACGAATCATAAAGGGGCCATAGTTCCCCACCTCTAGTTTAGAAGGTGAGGTAAAATCCTTGCACAAAATCCAGCTTGTTTGGTTGTTGGCGACACAGTGAATTTTGCAAAACCAGTCAGTGGGCTAATGAGGTAACTAGATTAGGCAGCCTATGCATGGCCCCCAATCTGGGGGCTGCCAATTAAAGGCTACATCAGTGGTTCTCAACCTGTGGGTCGGGACCCCATTTGGGGTCGAAAGACCATTTCACGGGGGTCGCCAAGCAACACAGTCCGCCATTTTCCCCCCCTTTTCCTTAGCTGTGCTACTCCCTTTTATTCTATTGGCTTTTGAAAGCCAATAGAATAGACTCTCTTGAATAGAGTCTAATTCTACTGGCTTTCAAAAGCCAATAGGAATTGTCCAGGCTGTCTCTGCCCTGCTGAGCCCGCCAAAAGTCCCATTCTGCAAACGGTGCTGCACCAGTTGAGTAGTCCTCGACTTACGACCGGTCGAGTACTCGACTTATGACCGGGTGGGGGTCGCGGCATTAAAAAGGTTGAGAACCACTGGGCTACATGCTTTGGGGCCATGGTCACTGTATAATCATTTTTGGAGGGAGACTGGATTAGTAAATGCTGAGTTATGAAATACGCTATTTTTACTCGGTAAGAGTGAAGACAGTTGACCCTTGGGAACAGGGAAAGAATTGTGTGTTCTTTGTGTATTTTGACCTTCTTGTGTGAGTAGCAGGAACGGGAGTTTTCTGTTTTCTTTTGCTCGGCATGACTGAGGAATTTCTTATTGTGGTTGGAAGAGGCCAGTGCTAACATGAGTTCATCAGTTATCACCAACGCCAGCAACTCTTAGTTTAAAGCAGTGTTTTCCAATCTTTTATTATTATTATTATTATTATATATTTTATTTTATTCAAAACAAAGTTGAAATTCAAAATACAGAACTCCCCCCCCCCCAAAAAATCCAAAAGGACAAAAAAAACAACAACCCCAAAGCAATTGAAGCATTAAAAAGGTCCATTAAAAAATGACATGATACCCATACTATCCTAGTTAAATACTTAATAATAATAATAACAATGATGATGATGATGGAAGAGACCTTGGAGGTCATCTAGTCCAACCCCCTGCTCAGGCAGGAAACCCTACACCATTTCAGACAAATGGCTGTCCAGTCTCTTCTTAAAAACTTCCAGTGTTGGAGCATTCACCACTTCTGGAAGCAGGTAGTTCCACTGGTTAATTGTTCTAACTGTCAGGAAGTTTCTTCTTAGTTCTAGACCAGTGATGGCGAACCTTTTAGGGACCGAGTGCCCAAACTGCAACCCAAAACCCACATGTATCGTCAGGTGCCAGATGGGCGTGGCCACAGTGGTAACGGCAGACTGGGTGGGACTAAAAAGTTCAATCAAGCAATTCCAACTTTGCAAGATCTTTTTTTTTCCCTGCAAGAAGTTGAAATTGACTGATTGATTGAACTTTTTTTTTTGCACACGGCGGCAGAGGCCTAAAGCGAAAAGGTTTTATAAAACCCAGCTGAAGGCCGAGGACTGGGGCGACGGCGCGCATGCTCACAGAGAGGGCTCTGAGTGCCGCCTCTGGCAGCCGTGCCATAGGTTCGCCACCATTGTTCTAGCTTGCTTCTCTCCTTGATTAGTTTCCATCCCTTGCTTCTTGTCCTGCCCTCAGGCGCTTTAGAGAATAACTTGACTCCCTCTTCTTTGGGGCAGCCCCTGAGATATTGGAACACTGCTATCATGTCCCTCCTCGTCCTTCTCTTTGTTAAACTAGACATATCCAATTCCAGCAACCGTTCCTTATGCTTTAGCCTCCAGTCCCCTAATCATCTTTGTTGCTTTGATACCCGTACTATCTTCTCTAATTAAATACTGATTAATACATTATTACAACATTAAGTGGCAAATGGGTATCAGTAGCTTAAATTTTTTGGGAGGGCTTGATTCCCAATGAGCGGGAACTAATCTTGATTACTTGCAAGCAGGAAGGACACTGCTGGAACATACATTCAGTTCAGGACTTTGCTTTTATTTTGCACTCTACATGCAGCTGCCCTGGGAAAAGTATCCGGAGGCTTCCGTTGCTTCATAATGTGGTGGTATCACGGTTCCGATAAATGAGACCAGTTAAAAAGAACTCCAAGGCAAAAAAAAAAAATCATTAAAGAACATATTTATTTGGCTACATAGTATCCGCAAAATCAAAAGTGAAACCAAGAGTGAAGTTTCCCCCCCCCCAAAAGTTACAATGTTACACAAGTTGAACTTCCCACCCCAGCAATATGTCATAAATCACATTCTCCAATTAACTACTTGTGTGGACTTTCTAAGGCAGTGATGGCGAATCTTTTAGAGCAGTGGTTCTCAACCTGTGGGTCGCGACCCCATTTGGGGTCGAACGACCATTTCATGGGGGTCGCCAAACAACGCAGTCCGCCATTTTTTCCCCCTTTTCCTTAGCTGTGCTACTCCCTTTTATTCTATTGGCTTTTGAAAGCCAATAGAATAGACTATCTTGAATAGAGTCTAATTCTATTGGCTTTCAAAAGCCAATAGGAATTGTCCAGGCTGTCTCTGCCCTGCTGAGCCGCCAAAAGTCCCATTCTGCAAACGGTGCTGCACCAGTTGAGTAGTCCTCGACTTACGACCGGTTGAGTAGTCCTCGACTTACGACCGGTTGGGGGGTCGCGGCATTAAAAAGGTTGAGAACCACTGTTTTAGAGCAGTGTTTCTCAACCTTGACAATTTTAAAACATGTGGACTTCAACTGGCTGTGGAATTCTGGGAGTTGAAGTCCACATGCCTTAAAATTGTCAAGGTTGAGAAACACTGTTTTAGAGACTGAGGGCCCAAACCACAACCCAAAACCCACTTATTTATCGCAGAGTGCCAGGGCCGCATCAGCATTGTGGTACCCTGGGGGGGGGAGGGCAGGGAGACGCCTCTGAGTGCTGCCTCTGGCACGCAAAAACCAGGGGCGCAAAAATGGGCCACCGTGCTGCAAGGCGCAGAAACGGCCACCACTGCGCCACAGGGTGCAGATACAAGGCGCTGCACCATGCAAGAATGGGGCTGGGCTAGTGAGTATCACGCAGGCACTAGCCCCACCCCATTTGCAGCGTGTGCATGCTTGCGGTCCCGTGCCGCATGCACGCAGGTAAAATGCTTCCTCCTCCCTTTTCTTCCAGTCCACCAATCGACAATGGTTGGTGACCTCTGCTCTACTACCTCTACTCGAGCTTGCAAGTCAGCCGCTTCGCCTCCTTGGTGCTGGACAGGGCTCCTGCTTTGGGTGACGGTGGCATGCGTGCCCACAGAGAGGGCTCTGAATGCCGCCTCTGGCACGCGTGCCATAGTTTCGCCACCACTGTTCTAAGGAAAGCTGTAGCCCACCAGGACTTTGGTTCCCAGGGGACAATTTATTATTTTGTCTATAACCTTAAAAGCACATGTCCTCCCTCCCATACTTCAGCCACATTTTTTTGTAGAGTTGACAGGTGGCTTGAATAGTTTTGTGCAAGCTTAGATTTGCACATGTGTCGCCTCTCTTGCAGGATCTGCATTGGCTGCTGATTTGCTTCCAAGTCTAACTCAAAGTGCTGGTTGTGACCTTGAAACCCTGCGGTGGCTTGCAGTCAGGTTATTTGAAGGACCATCTTTTCCCAGCCATATCGACTGGATCCACCAGAGCAGGGAGGCAGGGAACATTACAGGTCCCCTCTCTTAAGGAGGTCCACCTTGTGGGACCGAGAAGAAGGGCCTTCTCCGCGGTGGCTCGCTCCCTGCGGAACATCAGCCAGCCGTGTGCGGCAGCTGCCAAAAAGGCCCACACAGTGCTGGGCTGCATTAACAGAGAGATAGAATCAAGATCACGCAAAGTGTTAATACTACTTTACAAGGCCCTGGTAAGGCCACACTTGGAATACGGCATCCAGTTTTGGTCACCACAATGTAAAAAAGATGTTGAGACTCTAGAAAGAGTACAGAGAAGAGCAACAAAGATGATCAGGGGACTGGAGGCTAAAACATATAAGGAAAGGCTGCTGGACTTGGGTCTGTCTAGTCTAATGAAAAGAAGGACTAGGGGGAACATGATAGCAGTCTTCTACTATCTCAGGGACTGCCCCAAAGAAGAGGGAGTCAAGCTATTCTCCAAAGCGCCTGAAGGCAGGACAAGAAGCAACAGATGGAAACTAACTAAAGAGAGAAGCAACCTGGAATTAAGAAGAACAGTGAGGGCAATTAACCAGTGGAACAACCTGCCTCCAGAAGCGGTGAATGCTCCAACGCTGGAAGTTTTTAAGAAGAGACTGGACAACCATTTGTCCGAAATGGCATAAGGTTTCCCACCTGAGCAAGGGGGTTGGACTAGATGACCTCCAAGGTCCCTTCCAACATCATCATCATCATATCATCATTATTATTATATAAGATTGGCCCCCACTGTGACACTCTTTCATAAGGCCCTGAAGACGTGGTTCTGCCAGTAGGCCTAGGGACCCCAGAGTGATATGGAGCCCATAATGTGGCTGATCTGACTGTTGTTGCTGGGTGTGTATGTGTGCGTGGAGGTTTATTGCGTTTTGTCGTTGAGCTTTTTCTTTGTAAGTCACCTGGAGTCACACTGAGTGAGTTGAGCAGCCATATGAATTTTCTTCATGAATTAGTACTAATAAATAAATTACAGGTAGTTCTCAACCTGTGACCGCAACTGAGCCTCAAATTTCCATTGCTAAGGAAGGCGGTTGTTAAACGAGTTGCTCTCCATTTTACGACTTTTTTTTTTGCTACAGTTGTTAAGCGAACTACTGCAGTTCTTAAGTGAATCAGGCGGTCGTTACTTGAGTCAGGCTTGCCTCAATTGACTTTGCTTGTTGGAAGCCAGCTGGGAAGGTTACAAATGGGCATCACGTCACGCTGGGAGAGTGCAACAGTCATAGGTACATGCCAGTTGCCAAGGGCCCAAAATCCGATCACGTGATTATAAGTCACTTTTTTCAGTGCCGTTTGCAACTTCGAGCGGTCACTAAATGAACCGTTGTATGTCGAGGACTGCCTGTCTTTGAAGTGAATTCCTAGCTCTTTCAGTGCAAACATTCGTTGCCGATTGCTTTTCAGTTTTTTTCCCAACCCAGAAAGTTACAGAGAGGACTTCTAATTGCTGGTATAATCAGACCCTTTTTACTACTCTCTTTTGGATGGAGCCGTTCCAGAATTAATGTTATTTCTTAAATGCTTCCAAAAGAACTAAGTACATCTTGAAATAAAATACCTTCCTTCATCTGGATTCACTCTGAGGAGAATGCACATGCAGAACCCTATTAGACAGTTCATGATGTTAATGTTCTAGTGAGACTAACTAGGTGTATCCAGAAAGTACAGTATGTGGTGTCCTTGGTGCTCTCTGAGCTTGTTTTTTTTTTTTTCAGGTGTTTCATTACTCAAGCTAGGGACTAGCTGACAACCTCAGTGTCTTTAACCATTGAGCCGTCTCGCCGCTTAATTGACATTAGTTTGTTGGTAAACGTATCCACTGATCATGAGCATCGCTATGAGCCCACAATTCACCAATGAATTCACATTTCTTGAATAAAATCATTGGTGTCTTCTTTTCCTAATGCATGCATTTCATTTTATTAGCTTCTATAGCACTAAATGGTCAGAGTACCGTATTTTCCGGCTTATAAGACGATTTTCTAAAGCATGCAAATCGGCTCCGAAGTCAGGGGTCGTCTTATACGCCGAGTCGTCTTATACACCGGAAAATACGGTATGTTTTGCCTCGCACGTAGCTTCCCAAAACATAACAGACACAACTAGTAGGTGTGTTTTGTTTGACTTTCCTTGGAAAGTGATGTCATTCAGCTTCTGCATGAACATATCTGCCAGTGTTTTCCAATGAGAGATGGTTCTGTTTATTTAATTACACACGATGAGTGAAGCCTAAAACAGGATTCTAAAATTATACCACGTATCCTTGCTAGATCAAAGTGTAGTCTGTTAATATTTTCGTTTGAATTAAATTTAATTTCTCCCCTAGGTTATGGATGCCTATTATGAAAAAGTGGTCTGCCCAAAATCAAACGGTGCTATTTTCTTGGCTGTGTGCCGGGGAAAGGTACGTGCTGTCCAAGTTATATACAGTATTTAAATTTTATATATATATTGTGACTGCTGTTACTTTTTTATAATTCAGATCCTGTCCCGGTTCAAAATCCAGAATCGTAAAGCTCTAGAAGGAGAGTGGTTTATATTCAAGCGATATATTCAGCATAAACCTGAGCATGTTCCATAGCAGGGTTTTTTCCCAAACTTGGCAATTTTAAGATGGGTGACCTTCAACTCTCAGAATTTCCCAGCCAGCACTTCTGGTAATGAAGTCCTCCACACTTCTCAGAACTGCCAAGTTTGAAAAATACTGGTGGAAACTAGAGCCAGTGTTCTCCTGTCCAAATGATAACCAGATATAATTCCAACTAACTTTGCCAGATAAGCCGACATTAACTACATATGACCACCTGATGCTTTGCATGTTGCTTATTTTGGACACATTGCATTTCCTCCTATGTACAGCCAGCACGTGGGCTGAGGAATTCTAGGAATAGATGTCTACACATCTTAAAATTGCCAAGGTTGAGACACACTGCTCTCTTGTGTGTGCTGGAAGTCGTCATCTGATTCCCAAAGGAGTGAAAGCGGGCTTGTTTTCGAATTGTGGTTCTGGAGAAGACTCGTGGGAGTCCCTCGGACTGCAGGGAGATCCAATCAGTCGATCCTAAAGGAAATCAACCCTGGCTGTCCTTTAGAAGGACAGTGTCAACACTACAAACGAATTTGGCTGAAGCCATTTCCGCTTCATTTTCAGTTGCCACAGAATTGGGAGGGGTGCTAGTGTGTACTTTTAAGTTTAGACAGAACAATAAATTGTCCTGTGGGAACCAAGGTCATTACTGACTGCATTTTGGCCGGGCTGAAACTTCTGTTAGAAAGCCCACTGCAAGTAGTTAATTGGGGAATTTGAGAAGTTCAACTTTGTAACGTAACCTTTGGGAGGGAACTTCAGTCTTGGGTTTCACTTTTGCTCGTGCTGATAATTTGTAGCCAAGTAAATATGTTCTTTAAGGAAACCTCTTGCTTTGGAGTTCTGTTTTTGCTGGTCTCATCTCTCGGAACCAAGACAGACAGATGCTGAAGCTGAAGCTCAAATAATTTGGCCACCTAGTGAGAAGGGAGGACTCATTGGAGAAGGCCCTGATGTTGGGGAAGATGGGAGGCAAAAGGAGAAGAGGACGGCAGAGGATGAGATGATTCGATAATGTCATTGACCCAATGAAGATGAACTTGGGCAAACTCCGGGAGACAGTGGAGGACAGAGGGGCCTGGCCATGCTGTGGTCCATGGGCTCGTGAAGAGTCGGACATGACTTAGCAACTGAACAGCAAACAGAAAGGAGGCTAAAGACTCAGTTGTTAACTGTTTGGGTGGCAGGTTGTCATTGACCTCTGCAGAACTCTTGAGAGCCCTCAAAAGTTGGGCAAAGCTAAGAACAGAATAGAACAGAGGATAGGATAAGACTAGTAGAGTAGAATAGAATAGAATAAGAATTAGAATAGAATAGAATAGAGAATAAGAGTAGAATAGAATAGATTAGAATAAGAATAGAATAGAATAAGAGTAGAATAGATTATAATAAGAATAGAATAGAATAGAATAGAATAGAATAGAATAGAATAGAATAGAATAGAATAGAATAGAATAGAATAGAATAGAATAGAATAGAATAGAATTCTTTATTGGCCAAGTATGAATGGACACACAAGGAATTTGTCTCCAGTGAATAAGCTGTAAAATAAAATCCATCTTTCCCAACACTGGGGTCTTTTCCAAGGAGTCCTCTCCTTTTCTTAGGTGGCCAGAGTATTTGAGCTTCAGCTTCAGGATCTGTCCTTCCACAGAACAGTCGGGGTTGATTTCCTTTAGGATTTAAACTTAAAATAAGCAATAGTGCTGAGACCTACACATCACCCCACAGTGCTCTTCAGCACACTCTGGTTTACAGAGTCAGTATGTGGTTCCCAACAACCTGGGTCCTCATTTTACCGACCTCAGAAGGATGGAAGGCTGAGTCAACCTTGAGCCAGTCAGGATCGAGCTCCAGGCTGTGGGCAGTTTGCCTGCAATACTCCGTTTAGCCACTGCGCCACCAGGACTAAGCTCCCACCCCACCCGTCGTCAAAAAAATCCTTGAGTATATGATACAATATGAGGCAGCACCTTGATTCCTGCAGTCATTTGTCCTTTAGGGGAACCCATGTTGATAAAACACGTTATCTGCCTGCAGGCTAGCGAAGGTTTGGACTTTGCTGATCAGAATGGACGAGGGGTCATCATCACTGGGCTTCCATACCCCCCTTTGAAAGAACCCAAAATCATGTTAAAGATGCAATTTTTGGATGAGATGAAGACAAAAGATGCCAATGGGCAGGTAAGGAGAGAGAAGCGTGGCTTTGATCATAGAAAATGTGTCAAAGGTTGAAATGTTTCTTTCCAAAACATTCCATTTTTGACCTTGCAATGGCCTCGTTGGACCCCATCTGAAATATCCTGCCTGTTTTTGAGTTGGTAAATCTGTATTTTGTTCTTCCCCTCTTTTCGTGTGGATTTCTGTCTTGATTTCTTGGGCTACAGGCGTCGTTGCTGAACACTTTCCAAACAGAACGAGCTGAGCTCGTAAACATTCTAACATTCTTCGTTTTGGTAAAAGATATTCGGGGTAGTTTATTGCTATTGCCGTTGTTACGTGTGAAACAGACAATCTTGTTTTCCACTTCAATTATTATAGAAGCCTACCAGTAAATCACGGTCTTCTCATCTGTCTGCAGTCTAGAAGGAACGATGTACACATCAAATACACGATAAGCTCCCTTTACGTTCCTAGATTTAGTTGGGATTTTCTTTTGGATAGCGGTTTAAGTAATTTCCCAGAACTGGGCCTGCAACTTCCCCTTGTTCTGACTAACTGGGGATTAAAACACTGACAGGTGTTCTCGTAAGATGGAGCACGGATGAAATTTTTAAACCCTTGCCTGGCCTTTTTCTGTTCTTTTTTTTTTTTTTTGTAAAGGCTGGGAATTAAAAAGCAGAAGACAGCACTGTAAAATAAAGCTGATGTCAATGCTGCTAACATTGGATGTTTTTGCATTGACGACAGATGGAGATGCAGCCATTTTCTACGTTTTGTTTTTAGAGTTAGATGATGCTGGGGAGGGGGGGAATGTGCATGGGAGTCTAGCTAGACATAATAACACTGAACCTAGGGTGAGAACCAAGGTTGTTGAAATAAGAGATGATAAAGAATTGGAGAGCTGGTGTCATATGCCATCTATAAAGCATTTTATATACATTTGCTTTGTATGAGGCTGCTTTAGTAAGTTTAATGTTTACGTCCCAAGTCTTTTGCCAGTCTTCTAAATCTATAGAATATCCAAATATTTTAGCGAAAATGTTTAAAAATGTATTGAATAATTGTTGGAAATGTAAACAACCAGGCACCTACTATCATATCTGGTGGGTATGCCCTAGTGCAGTGGTTCTCAACCTTTTTAATGCCGCAACCCCAACCGGTTGTAAGTCGAGGACTACCCAACCGGTTGTAAGTCAAGGACTACCCAACAGGTCGTAAGTTGAGGACTACCCAACTGGTCGTAAGTCAAGGACTTTCCCTGCCCTGGAGCGCCACGCATGCGTGGTGCCGCCCCCTGCGCCGGCCGAGGCACAGCTGGCAAGTGGCAGAGACAGCGCAGGCAAACTACCAGCTGGGCCACCAGCTGGCCCAGCCCAAGGGAGGTAAGGCGCCCGCCGGGCCCCACGCACGCCAGCAACCCTCCCTGCGCCCGCCGGCCTCCCACCTCCCACCCCTGGCCCTCTTTTACTTACATTTTTAGTAGTTGCTCAGCAGGGAGGGGTGGAAGCTTCCAGATAGCTGGCCTTCGCTGCAGACAACTTGCAGCACCGTTTGCAGAATGGGACTTTTGGCGGGCTCAGCAGGGCAGAGACAGCCTGGACAATTCCTATTGGCTTTGGAAAGCCAATAGAATTAGACTCTATTCAAGAGAGTCTATTCTATTGGCTTTCAAAAGCCAATAGAATAAAAGGGAGTAGCACAGCTAAGGAAAAGGAAAAAAAAATGGCGGACTGCGTTGTTTGGCGACCCCCGTGAAATGGTCGTTCGACCCCAAATGGGGTCCCGACCCACAGGTTGAGAACCGCTGCCCTAGCAGAAAGAAATTTTGGGTTAAGATTCATATATGGCTGGAAAAGATGACTAAAATACAGATAGAATTTAAGCCAGAATTGTTTTTGTTGGGAATACTAGGACTTAGTTATGGAAAAGAGGATGAATACTAAATATTACATATATTGACAGCCACGAGAATAGCATTTGCCCAATTCTGGAAAAATGAAAAGGTACCATCTGGCTAGATTATAATTACAAAAATGTTGGAACGTGCAGAAATGGACAGATTAACCTTAGAGATTAAAGCAGTGTTTCTCAACCTTGACAATTTTAAGGCATGTGGACTTCAGCTCCCAGAATTCCACAGCCAGCATTGCTGGCTGTGGAATTCTGGGAGCTGAAGTCCACATGCCTTAAAATTGTCAAGGTTGAGAAACACTGGATTAAAGAGAAAGAAGACTCAGTTTATTTTAAAACATGGGAAAAAATGTATCAATGGTTAGCAATACAATCTAGCACAGTGTTTCTCAACCTTGACAATTTTAAGGCATGTGGACTCCAACTCCCAGAATTCCACAGCCAGCAATGCCTTAAAATTGTCAAGGTTGAGAAACACTGATTCTAGCGAGAAAGGATTGTGAAGTTTATTAGGATGAATAATATTTATTGACTAACTAATATTTTTATGATTGTTGTTATTCTTAGTGATTATAGTTATTTATCATTACATTAATTACTGCTATTTTTAATATTTGTATCCGGACGGCAGACTGCTTGCTAAAGCGTGGAATTATTGTTGGGGGTAACCCCATTCTTGTACCTACCCTTACCCTAATCCCACTCCCAAACCCTACCTAATGCCCATATCGATCCTACCCTTTTCTTATCCTAATAAATTGTTTATAAAAGAATTGGAGAGCTGGAGGGGAAGCCAGCACTTTAAACTAATTGGGAATTGTGCTTTGATACTATATGCTCAGGGCAGGGGAACTCATAACTTCCATTATGTTAGTGCCGATGCTATGCTACTCGAATAAAAGATTCTTTAAGGCAGGGCTTTTCAACCAGTAATACGGGTACCACCTGTGGTACATTGGCACCTGGCAGGTGTGATACGCGACCATCCTAGAAAAGGGGTAGAAGGGGAGGGGAATGAGCTGAACCAGTGGCAGCACCGCATAAGCCTGAGCGAAGAGATGGCTGCAGCTGCAGGGCTGTCAGGGGTCAGTGGAAGCGCCAGGTTCAGTGCCGCTTTCCAGCTGATCGGCGCTTCTTCGGGGCTGTCAGGGCTCAGTGGAAGTGCCAGGATCAGTGCCAGGCTCCAGCTGGAGCTCGGCGCTGATCCTGGTGCTTCTGCTGAGCCCTGAAGAAGCACCAATCAGCTGGAAAGCAGCACTGATCCTGGTGCTTCTGCTGAGCCCAGAAGAAACGCCGATCAGCTGGAATGTTGCAGCTTCTCCAGGGTCTTATGATTTACATTCAGATGCCTGGCAACTGATTCATATTTATGACGGTCACAGTGCCCCAGGGTCATGTGAAGTGACCAAAACCTGCTGCAACCACCCAGCAGACATGGGGGGGGGAAATAAAAACCAAACACCACCCCCATCCCCCCCCCCACAGCCAATCCTCAGCAGAAATGCTCACAACAATGAAAACCTCGGACAGGAGGAAGAGTACTGCCGGGCGGGCAGGCAGGGGTCTTGCTCGGCTGTGGCTTGGGGGGCACTTTTTTCAGTGCCATTGTAACTTTGAGCAGTCACTAAGCCAGTGGTTCTCAACCTTTCTAATGCCGTGACCCCATAATACAGTTCCCCATGTTGTGGTGACCCCCAAGTGGGTGTGGCCACCAATAAGAGGGAGTAGGACAGCTAGGGAAAAGGGAAAAAAATGGCGGACAGTGTGGTTTGGCGACCCCCGTGAAATGGTCGTTCGACCCCAAATGGGGTCCTGACCCACAGGTTGAGAACCACTGCACTAAGCGAACTGTTGTAAGTCGAGGACTACCTGCACTTTATCACTTTTTTCCTTTCCTTTTTTTTTTTTTTTGGGTCATCAAGTTTTTGACACTTTGCTAGGCGACTGGTGGTCCTCGGATGTTGCCATATCCTAAAAGTGGTACAATCGGTGAAAAGGTTGAAAAACCCTGGGCTACAACTCCCAGAATTTGCTCAGCTGTGGAACATCTTAAAGTTATGAAGATTGAGCTAGGGTGAAGTTTTAGCCATTCTCTTTCCTCCGAGATTTTAGTTTGTGTAATTTATCTCTGCATGAGTCTCTGTTCTTGAGTTGGCTCCTTCTGTCCCCTGGAACGAAAATATTTACCCTTCATGGCTCAGTGGAAAGCCTTAGCTAGATCAGGGCTTTTCAATCTTTTCACCCATTGTACCACTTTAGGATATGGCAACATCCAAGGACCACCAGTCGCCTAGCAAGGGGTCAAAAACTTGATGACCCCCCCCAAAGGAAAAAAAGCGATAAAGTACAGGTAGTCTTCGACTTACAACAGTCCGCTTAGTGACTTTATCACTTTTTCCCTTTTTTTTTTCATTTTTTTGGTCATCAAGTTTTTGACCCCTTGCTAGGCGACTGGTGGTCCTCGGATATTGCCATATCCTAAAAGTGGTACAGTGGGTGAAAAGGTTGAAAAACCCTGCTTTAAGGTACACAAGGCCTCGAAGTTCTTTGAAGAGTTATGACAGCTTTATTCTTTCCACCATATTTAGTATTTGTCTGGAGATGCCTGGTACCGGCAGCAGGCTTCCCGTGCCGTGAACCAAGCTATCGGAAGAGTCATCCGACATCGGCAAGATTACGGCGCCATTTTCCTCTGCGACCAAAGGTGTCCTTCCCTTCCAGGGGACTTTTGCTACCATTAACGCTAACTTATTTCTTCTCACCTACTACTGCTAATAATAAAGTTGGAAGGGACCCTGGAGGTCATCTAGTCCAACCCCCTGCTCAGGCAGGAAACCCTATACCAGGGGTAGGCAACCTTGGCTCTTTTTTGACTCGTGGACTTCAGCTCCCAGAATTCCTGAGCCGGCCCTGCTGAGGGGAAAGGGAGAGGTTTCCAAGCTGAGCCAGGCTGGCTCAGGAATTCTGGGAGTTGAAGTCCACGAGTCATGAGGGGGCCATAGTTCCCCCATGCTGGCTCAGGAATTCTGGGAGTTGAAGTCCACGAGTCATGAGGGGACCATAGTTCCCCCATGCTGGCTCAGGAATTCTGGGAGTTGAAGTCCACAAGTCATGAGGGGGCCATAGTTCCCCATGCTGGCTCAGGAATTCTGGGAGTTGAAGTCCACGAGTCATGAAGGGGCCATAGTTCCCCCATGCTGGCTCAGGAATTCTGGGAGTTGAAGTCCCGAGTGCATGAGAGTTGAAGACCATAGTTCCCCCATGCTGGCTCAGGAATTCTGGGAGTTGAAGTCCACCAGTCATGAGGGGGCCATAGTTCCCCCAGCTGGCTCAGGAATTCTGGGAGTTGAAGTCCACGAGTCATGAGGGGGCCATAGTTCCCCATGCTGGCCTAGTGAAGTCCACAAGTCATGAGGGGGCCATAGTTCCCCATGCTGGCTCAGGAATTCTGGGAGTTGAAGTCCACGAGTCATGAAGGGGCCATAGTTCCCCCATGCTGGCTCAGGAATTCTGGGAGTTGAAGTCCACGAGTCATGAGGGGGCCATAGTTCCCCATGCTGGCTCAGGAAATTCTGGGAGTTGAAGTCCACGAGTCATGAAGGGGCCATAGTTCCCCATGCTGGCTCAGGAATTCTGGGAGTTGAAGTCCACGAGTCATGAGGGGACCATAGTTCCCCATGCTGGCTCAGGAATTCTGGGAGTTGAAGTCCACAAGTCATGAGGGGCCATAGTTCCCCATGCTGGCTCAGGAATTCTGGGAGTTGAAGTCCACGAGTCATGAAGGGGCCATAGTTCCCCCATGCTGGCTCAGGAATTCTGGGAGTTGAAGGAGTCATGAGGGGGCCAGTCCCCATGCTGGAGGAATTCTGGGAGTTGAAGTGAGAAGGGGCCATAGGTCCCCCATGCTGGCTCAGGAATTCTGGGAGTTGAAGTCCACGAGTCATGAGGGGGCCATAGTTCCCCCATGCTGACTCAGGAATTCTGGGAGTTGAAGTCCATGAGTCATAAAAGAGCCTAGGTTGCCTACCCCTGCCCTATACCATTTCAGACAAACCACCTTTTTTTTTTTGATCTTCTGACAAGCAAATTCAGCGGGGAAGCCAGATCCCCTTAGCAACTTTAAATTAGTAACGGTGGTGGCGGTTCGCTTAACAGCTGTGATGAGAAAGGTCATAAAGTGGGGCAAAAGTCACTTAACAAACGTCTCGCTCAACAACTGAAATTCGGGGTGGTTGTGGTCGTAAGTTGAGGGCAACCTGTCATCTTTTTGTCAGGGCTGACTATAAATCTTCGATTCTCCACAGGTTCACGCGGACAGACATAAAAGCCAACTTGCCTTCCTGGGTCCGCCCTCACGTTAAAACGTACAAAAACTTTGGACATGCAATCAGGGACGTTTCTCAATTCTTCCGTACTCTCCAACAGTCTGTAAGTATAAAACAACAGCATGGGGGGGGGGGAGTCTCCAAATTATCTGAGCTGTTTTGACGAGGACGTCAGACATTGAAAGCATTTGCCCGCAGCCTTTTTTAGAATATTGATCCAGTTTCAGGTCAGCAGCTTTTGTTAGTTTAGGACAGTGGTGGCGAACCTATGACACATGTGCCCTCTCTGTGGGCACGCGCGCTGCCGCCGCCAGCAGCTCTTGTGCAGGTCCATTAGGCCACCACGGCGGCCCGAGGCGGGGCCAAGGTGCATCAAGTATGTGTGGGGAACAGGCTCCGTGCACGAGCCAACGGCAAGATCTGCGAGGCGGCCAAGATGACCAGCAGCGACCTGCTCTCCAACCGCAAGCAAAAACAGATGGGATGGAGTAGGTGCGTCCAGCGGTCTGCATCATGTGCCTCCCACCTCCCCTATTCCGCCTGCTGCTGGAGGGCTGGCCCGGTATTGGCAGCAGACTGAGGATCTCCAGAATGCACCAGTTGAGGGGCCAGCAGGCTATGGCTGCTGATGGACACCATTGCCCCCCCCCATGCACTTGCTGGCCTCTGTGTGCAGGGGCCAATGGTGTCAGGCAGTAGCTGCCCCTGCCTTGCCTTGCCTTGCCCTGCGGCACTGGCACCCCCACCCTGCCCCCTGCCTCACCCCGCAGGATGAGCCTCCTGCCCACCACCCCACCCAGCAGAGACCCCCTGGATCTCCCCCAACCCTGCCCGGTACCTACAGATGTTCCCCCCACGAGCAACATTGAGGTGGCCACGTCCACCGCAGCCACGCCCACCCAGTCTGCCGTGACCACCGCAGTCACGCCCACCGTGGGCCATGCCTCTCCCCCCCTCCCCCCGAGGGCACTACATGAGCCGAGGTGGCGCAGCAGTTAGAGTGCAGTACTGGAGGCCACTTTAGCTGACCGTGTTCAGCAGGTCAGCGGTTCAAATCTCACCGGCTCAAGGTTGACTCAGCCTTCCATCCTTCCGGGGTAGGTAAAACGAGGACCCAGATTGTTGGGGGCAATGTAAATATATACGTACATTGCTTACTGGTGTACACCGCTTAGAGAGTGCTTGCACTTAAAGCGGTATATAAGTCTCTCATAAATAAATAAATGCTGATCTGACCCTGGCACTTTGCGATAAATAAGTGGGGTTTGGGTTGCAGTTTGGGCACTCAGTCGCTAAAAGGTTCGCCATCGCTGGCTTAGGAAATTGACCTAATACCCTTTTAACAAAAGTGTTTGGATGCCTTCCAGTGTATCAGGGAGGAGTCAGAGGAGATTTTGGAATTAGAATTCAATAAAGGAGAATATTTGTAGCTCAGGATTGACATGAGGGGTCCTTGCTGCCCTCTGAGCTTGGTTGTTTCCTGGCAGACGTTTCATTAACCAACTAGGTAACCTCATCAGTGCTAGTCCACTGATGCTAGCCCTGAGGATGCTACCTAGTTTGGATAATGAAACACCTGCAAGGAAACAACCAAGCTCAGAGGGCACCAAGGACCCCACAGCTCTCCTCCTCCTCTTCCTCTCCACAAACCCCACTCTCTTCCAGCCCTGATGATGTCACCTAGTTTGGGTAATGAAATGTCTGCAAGAAAATAACCCCGCTCAGGGAGCACCGAGGACTCCTAATTGGTTGAAACTCTAAAATTATTTTGTTTGGTAATTGAAGACCAAAGGCCTTTGGACTAGTTGACAATAGAAAATATATTCAGACACTTTTAGATCACCCACTCCGATGCAAGGGGTCTCCCCTGAATTTTACACCCAAGCCTGTTAGGATAACAATTGGGTCCCACTTTGTAATCATTTGACTGACATGGTTCCGAAAGAAAGCAGATTTTCAAAGAATTTTGAGGCTTTTTCCTCTAAAAGAATCTTTTATTATTCTGCATAGCTTCGGCACTAACAAAGTTAAGCCAGAAACTGAATCCTCCCTCCCCCAAGCATCTGTAGCAAAGCATAACTCACTCCTTCATTTTACAGTCATCAATCACATTCTCCAATTAATGTGAAGCGGTGAGGTGCCCCTCCCGTTGCAGCTGAGCTGACCTTGGCCACACTGTGCCCAGACATTGTTATGGTTAACTTGCATACTTTCCCACCCCTTAAACTACTGCTATCTGCCTTAACTCTAGAAATGCTATACGGGCTAAATAAAACAGGTTTGCTTCTTCATATATGGCAAGCAAGAACATCCGATGTTAGCAGTCTTGACATTGATTTAACCAGGTGTTTCATCTGATTAGCTATCCCAAAAGGCAACTGGACTTTCTTGGTTTTTACCTTTGAAACCTACTTTGCTTCTTCAGCTCCTGAAAACAAAAACAAAAAAACAGGAAAGTCCAGTTGCCCTTTGGAAAAAAAGCACCTTTGGGACAACCATGAGCTGGATGATGGAGAATTTCCACAGACCATCTCGTCCAGGGGTGTCAAATTGCTGTCCCACGGGCCGCGTGGGTCATGCCGAAACCGCACCCACCCCATTGCCAGCAATGGGGAAAAAAAGGTCACACCCCTGATCAAGTCAGTTAAGTGAATTGGGGACTGAGTAAGATCCTCGGAGTGAATCAGGGCAGCTGATCTGTTTTCTAGTCGCTTGATAGCTTTGTTTCTAAAGAATTCTCTCAAGTGCTAATTTGGCAGAAGAGAACATACTTTTTCCTCGGAATAAATAAATAATTCTTAAGAACTGCACCAATTACGCAGTTGCTGCGCCAGTTTAAGAGCTGAAATTTCTTCTGATGGCAAATGGATGTTTCTTTTCAAGAACAGTTTGAATAGTCCCGCACATTTGTTTTATATATTTTATACGCTCACCCATCTCGCTGTTGACGCAAGCCTGGGCAACTTCATTACTTTCTCATGAGTTCACTGTCCTGCCTATTTAACTGTGTTTATGCCTGCCAGACTGGCCAAACAATGCAGGAATACAACGCTCAGTACAATGGGGAACCTTGTTGTTCTTGTTAGTTGTGAAGTCGTGTCCGACCCATTGCGACCCCATGGACAACGTTCCTCCAGGCCAGTGGTTCTCAACCTTTTTAATGCCGCGACCCCCAACCAGTCGTAAGTCGAGGATTACTCAACCGGTCGTAAGTCGAGGACTACTCAACTGGCGCAGCACCGTTTGCAGAATGGGACTTTTGCCGGGCTCGGCAGGGCAGAGACAGCCTGGACAATTCCTATTGGCTTTTGAAAGCCAATAGAATTAGACTCTATTCAAGAGAGTCTATTCTATTGGCTTTCAAAAGCCAATAGAATAAAAGGGAGTAGCACAGCTAAGGAAAAGGGGAGAAAAAATGTCAGACTGCGTTGTTTGGCGACCCCCGTGAAATGGTCGTCCGACCCCAAATGGGGTCCCGACCCACCGGTTGAGAACCACTGCTCCAGGCCTTCCTGTTCTCCACCATCTTCTGGAGTCCATTGAAGCTCACGCCTCCTGCTTCAGGGACTCCATCCAGCCCCCTCCTTCTCTGTCGTCCCCTTCTTCTCTTGCCCTCCATCTCTCCCATCATCAGACTCTTCTCCAGGGAGTCCTTCTTTCTCATTAGGTGGCCAAAGGACTTGAGTTTCAACTTCAGGATCTGGCCTTCTAAAAAAAATCCTCTAGTTAATGGAAGATGGCCATGATCACTCCAAGAAGATTAACCTGCTTCCACAGTTGAAATTCTGAAATTTCAACTTGGAATGCTGCATCCAGTCTTGGTCACCGCATTATAAAAAAGATGCTGAGACTTTGGGGGAATTGCAGAGAAGAGCAACCAGGATGATTAAAGGCCTGGAGACTAAAACACATGAAGAACAGTTGCAGGAATTGGGTATGACCAATCTAAAGAAAAGGAGGACCAGGGGTGGCATGATAGCGGTATTGCAGTATTTGAGAGGCTGCCACAAGAAAGAGGGGGTCAAATTATTCTCCAGAGCACCAGAAGGCAGGACAAGAAACAATGGATGGAAACTCATCTAGGAGAGAAGCAACCTGGAACTAAGGAGAAGCTTCGTAACAGTGAGGATAATTAACCAGTGGAACAGCTTGCCTCCAGAAGTTGTGGGTGCTCCATCACTGGAGGTTTTTGAGAAGAGAATGGACAGCCATTTAGCATCTCCTGCTTGAGCAGAAGGTTGGACTAGAAGACCTCCAAGATCCCTTCTAACTCTTCTGTAACTATGTAACTAAACTTAATTGCAAGATATCAGATCATTACGTTTTATAAAGGAGAGATTCCTATTTACTGCCCAGATACAGTGTGCGCGCATGCGTGTATACATGCCAATTCTAATGCCAAAGCATCTCAAAGCAGTTCCCAAGAGAATATTTTAAAATGCATGACAATTGATGGATTAAAATAATATCTGAAAACAGTCGATTGAAACAAGCACGTCACCATTTGTAAGCTGCCCAGAATCTCCTTATTGGTGAGATGGGTGGCATATAAATGTAATAACTACATAAAATGAATAAAATATTTATTTTTCTTTCTTTTTTAAAAAAAATTTTTTTTATTGAATAACATAAATTAAAAACATTGAACATGGTAAATCAGATTTGACATACATCACAGTTCATATTCACAATTAACTACTAATATAAGACAAAAAACCTTTACAATAACATCACTCTAGTCTCAATCTTGACTTATCTCATTACAATGACTTCCATATTTTTCCTCCCATCATCTATAAAATTTATACCAAATTTGGTAAAAGTCCGTTTCATCCTGATTTTTGAGTCTCTTAGTTAACCTATCTAATTCTGCGCAGTGCATAATTTTATGAATTAAAATTTTCTCACTAGGTAAAGCCGTAGCTTTACCTGTAGAATCTCCTTATTGGTGAGATGGGTGGCATATAAATGTAATAACTACATAAAATAAATAAAAACATTTATTTTTCTAATATGCATATCAGGAATGCCTGAGTGAACTTTCTTTTTTTTTTTTAAAAAAAAAAAAAGATTTTATTGAATTTTATAGGGTTAGGGATAAAATAGGGTCAGGGTTGGGGTTTAGGGTGGGGTTGGGATCAGGATTAGGGTTAAGACAGGGTTGGGGTCAACATTGGGGTTATCCCCCAGTAATATTTTCAATATTTAGCAAGCAAGACTATTGTCTGGGTACATATGTTTAGCTAACAATAGTTAATATAGTAATAGATAATTGTAGTAAGTATAATAAACAGTAATCATAAACAGTATTAATTACTCAAGGTATAACATTCTTCTTACTAGTATGTATTCAAGATAACATATCACATTCATTTCTCACTAGTTTATTTTCCTAACCATTGGTAGACATTACTCCATGTTCTAAAGTAAACTGAATCTTCTTTCTCTTTAATCTCTAAAGTCAATCTATCCATTTCTGCACATTCTAAGATTTTCTTAATTGAAACCTCTTCAGTTGGTAAGTTTTCATTTTTCCAATATTGGGCACTGAGTGAATTTTCTAATCAGACATTAAAAGAAGTGACAAGAGAAGACTGTTATATTTGAAGGGGGAGCATCCCTGTATAGTCCTACTATATAAAAGGCCACTCAATGGCCTTGAGCAGCTGTATTCAACAATACAGTATTTGATAACAGAAAGATGTATGAGGTGTCCTTGGTACTCTCTGACCTGGGTTGTTTTCTTGCAGACTTTTCATTACCAAACTAACATCATCAGTGCTAGAAGGGAATGGGGTTTGCGGAGAATGGTGGGGTCTTGGTGCTCTCTGAGCTGGGTTGTTTTCTTGCAAACATTTCACTAACCCAAATTAGGCAATATCTCAATGCCAGAAATACCTTTGTTTCTAAAAAGTATGTCAAAATATTCATTTATAATGAACTCCTAGTGGACAATCACTTAAATATGAGCCAGCTATGTGCTGCAGCTGCCAAAAGAGCCAACACAGTGCTAGGCTGCATTAACAAAGGGATAGACTCAAGATCAAGTGAAGTGTTAATACCACTTTACAATGCTTTGGTAAGGCCACACTGGGAATCCTGCATCCAGTTTTGGTCACCACGATGTAAAAAAGATGTTGAGACTCTAGAAAGAGTGCAGAGAAGAGCAACAAAGATGATCAGGGGAATGGAGGCTAAAACGTATAAGGAACAGTTGCTTTAATTGGGTCTGTCTGGTTTAAGGAAGAGAAGGACGAGGGGGGACATGATAGCAATCTTCCAATATCTCAGGGGCTGCCACATAGAAGAGGGAGTCAAGCTATTCTCCAAAGCCTCTGAAGACAAAGACAAGAAGCAATGGGTGGAAACTAATCAAGGAGAGAAGCAACCTAGAACTAAGGAGAAACCTCCTGACAGTGAGAACAATTAACCAGTGGAACCACCTGCCTCCAGAAGCAGTGAATGCTCCCATCACTGGAGGTTTTTAAGAAGACACTGGACAGCCATTTGTCCGAAATGGTGTAGGGTTTCCTGCCTGAGCAGGGGTTGGACTAGATGACCTCCAAGGTCCCTTCCAACATTATTATTATTATTATATTTATTTATCACATTTATATGGTATCCACCTCACTCTGCAGTGACTCAGAGCAGCCTCCCATTTAAAAAAAAATCAAAAATATAAACAGCTTTAGGTACAAAAATAACAAACCAGAGACAAAAACGATGCAACGATGGCATCTTCTGTATTAGAACATGCAGACTGTAGATTTCTGGATTGCCCCCCTTTTTAGAGATTTTCAAGACTCCTGCCTCATTTCCAACAATTTCAGCAACCCCTCTGAATGCAGAGGACAGAAAATGCTGGCTAGCTAATATCTGATATAAAACGACCCATCTGGCTTTGCTCTTTCCTGTTACTGCTCTTACCTCCCCCCCCCCCAAAGTTGCGACTACAAGTAGTCCTTGATTTACAACCACAGTTGACCCCAGAACTCCTGTTCCTAAGTGAAACATTTGTTCAGCGAGTTTCCCCACATTTTTACAACCATTTCTTGCCCCAGTTGTTAAGTGAATCTGGCTTCCCCCTTGATATTGCTTATCGAAAGATGATCACGTCACCTTGGGACACAGCGACGGTCATAAGCATGAAACAGTTGCCAAGCATGTTGATGACATGACCATGGGGATGCGGCAACGGTCGCAAGAGTGAAAAACGTTCGTAAGTCACTTTTTTCCCCACTGCCTTTGTAACTTGGAAGGGTCACTAAATGGACTGTTGTAAGTCAAGGACGGCCTATATTGGCCGTTTGAAAATCGTCTCCCTGTAACGTGATGTTTCTCATTTCTGTACAGATGCCAGGGGCGCCCCCTCCTCGCCATCTTTCTTCTTCAATCACTGCAGGAGAAAATGAATCTCCCTCTGCATCTTTTGTTCCGTGCAAGCAATTCCCTACTGGGACCAAAGCCAGCGTGTTGGAAGACCACGTTCCTAGTCTGAAAAGGAAGCGGATCGGTCAGTATAACCCTCTCTTTAACATGTACAGGTGTCCTCAACTTACAACAGTTCATTTAATGACCGTTCAAAGTTAACAACAGCATTGAAAAAAGTAATAGTAATCATCATCATCATCATAATACCAATAGTAATAGGCACCTTGGGTGCAATTCGAAAACAACTGGAGCATCACTTGAACACCATCATCGGCATTGACAAATTCGCCATTAGTCAATTGCAAAAGGCGGCCTTGCTAGGAACTTCCATCCTGCAACGAGATCTGTGATACCATCAAACATCCACATCTGCCTATCCCAGGTACTTGGGAAGGACTTTATAGGTAGACAAAAATGCCAAATCCAATCTGAACATCTGGCTGACTGCAATGATTGATGATGATGATGATGATGATTTTGGAAGGGACCTTGGAGATCATCTAGTCCAACCCCCTGCCCAGGCAGGAAAGCCTATACCATTTCGGACAAATGGCTGTCCAGTCTCTTCTTAAAAATCTCCAGTGTTGAAGCAGCCACCGCTTCTGGAGGCAGGTTGTTCCACTGGTTAATTGTTCTCACTGTCAGGAAGTTTCTCCTTAGTTCTAGGTTGCTTCTCTCTTTGGTTAGCTTCTGTCCGTTGCTTCTTGTCCTGCCTTCAGGTGCTTTGGAGACTGGTTTATTCCATTTTGCCACCTCCGGTTCTTGTCAATGTCTCTTCCCTCCCGCTGTTTGCCTTCTCATTCCCAGGCCCACATGTTACTACCCCAAATTCCTCCCCACCCCATTGCAATTTATGGCAGGATGCCAGCAAAGCGCAGAAGCTGGAGATGGCAGACCTGACACTCTGGCAATAGGACAATTTCTGCTCCATCTCTCCACCAGGATTGATTCCATGGTCCAAAGTGGAGATGCAGCAGAATGTCTAGTAGGCAGAGGTTGTCTGAAAGAAGGCCAAGCTACAGGATAGCAGAAGACATGGAAGGACAAGGGGGGGACATGATAGCAGCGTTCCAATCTCTCAGGGGCTGCCCCAAAGAAGAGGGAGTCAAGCTATTCTCCAAAGTGCCTGAAAGCAGGACAAGAAGCAACGGGTGGAAACTAATCAAGGAGAGAAGCAATCTAGAACTAAGGAGAAACTTCCTGACAGTGAGAACAATTAACCAGTGGAACAATCTGCCTCCAGAAGCGGTGAATGCTCCAACACTGGAAGCTTTTAAGAAGAGACTGGACAGCCATTTGTCCGAAATGGTATAGGGTTTCCTGCCTGAGCAGGGGGTTGGACTAGATGACCTCCAAGGTCCCTTCCAACCTTATTATTATTATTAACAACCTGCCTCCAGAAGCAGTGAATACTCCAACACTGGAACTTTTTAAGAAGAGACTGGACAGCCATTTGTCTGAAATGGTATAGGGTTTCCTGCCTGAGCAGGGGGTTGGACTAGATGACCTCCAAGGTCCCTTCCAAATTTATTATTAATAATATTAATATTATTATGTGGAAGGCCACCTTCTTTGCAAGTAGCACCTCTAGTCTTACCTAAGCCTTTCATATTTATTTTTTTTTATTTTCTCCTGCCATGCTACAGTAGAAATTCATTGGGCCATTCTTCCCAGAGATCAGCCAATCTCATAGGTGTAAGGTAACTTTTCCAGCAAAAAAAAGGTCCCAGAATAATTCCTGTCATCTCCAACAGAAGGATCCTGGATGATGCTAAAGAACTTAATTTCTCTACCCCAGAGAAAACCCAGGACATAACCAGGGGGTCCTCCTGGATTCACGGCTCCTGCTTGAAGATCAGGAGGCAGTCGTGGCTAGGAGGACCTTTGCTCAACTTCCTGTTGGGTGCCAGCTACACCCTTTCCTGGATAGGGAGGCTCTCCGCTTGGCCATTCCCACCCTGGTCATTTCCCATCTGAACTACTCCAATGCACTCTACATGGAGCTACCCTTGAAAAGTGTACAGAAGCTTTAAGTGGCACAGTGTGGCCGCATGAGCAATCTTGAATGCCCCAAAGATGGCGCGTATGACATCACTGCTGCGCAAGCTGCACTGGGTGCTGGTTTGCTTCTGGCTCCAATTCAGTGTGTTGATTATGACCCTTAAAGCTCAACCTGCCATGGGGCTAGGTTACCTGCAGCACCATGCTCCCCCTATCACAATTGCCTGTTCTACCCAGTCAGGTAGGAAGGGTGTGTTACAGATCCCGTCAGCTAAAGAATTCCAACTGGTGGGATCCACCCACTCTGGACCTTTCATAAATGCCACACTTGTTTGAGGCCCGCAGAGGAGCATAGTGGCATGAGATTTATTAGTATTGTATATTAACCCTCCCCCCTCCTTTTTTAACTTTGAATTTTAATTATTGTGTTCTTCTTTTATTTGCCTTCTAATATATACAGTTTTTAATGTTTCAACTGTACACTGGCCAAATTTGCTCTTGTGAGTGAGATGGACTGTTTCAAAATTTGATATATGAAATAAACAAGACGGTAAATAGATGCCTGGAGCCAGCAGATGGGGTTCCAGGTGGTGGATGCCATTGTGGAGTCATTACTGTTGGCTGAGAATGTAAGAGAAAGTCAGTTTGGTATAATGGTTAAGATGTTGATCTAGAAACCGGGAGATGGTGAATTCTAGTCCCACCTTAGGTATGAAAGTTGGCTGCATGACTTTTGAGCCAATCATTCTCTGTCAGCCCACCCCACCCTACAGGGTGGGGTGGGCTGACAGAGAATGATTGGCTCAAAAGTCATGCAGGGTTGTTGTGGGGAAAAATAGGAGGAGGAAGGTAAGTTCACTGCCTTGAGTTACTTATAAAAATAATAAAGGCGAGATAAAAAATCTAACAAAACGAATGTAGCAAACAGCAACAGTGATACAGTTGCTGACATGCAAGTGTTAATTTTATGTCCTTTTGTAAAGTCCAGTGTAATGATGACATTGCATGAGGCACAGTTTCAAAATAACTGCTTGTTGGCTTGTTCCGGCTGTTTCATTTGCCTTTTTTATCCATGGAAAGTTTAGTCTTTCAAGTTCTGAGACATCCTTAAACAGATGAAACATTCCTGGCTTTCAGCCTCATTAATTTATATTGTGGCCTTATACAAATTGTACACAGTGTACACCAGATCGTTCCATTTGCACGCCTCATCATTGTGTTACCAATAAGCAAGAATATTTGTAGCTTGGAGTTGAAGTGAGGGGGTCCTTGGTGCTCTCTGAGCTTGGTGGTTTTCTTGCAGATGTTTCATTACCAAACTAGGTAACGTCATCCGTGCCAGAAGGAAATGGGATTCGTTCTCACTTCTAGGATTGATGATGTTACTGATGATGAGTTTGGGTAATGATATGTCTGCAAGAAAACAATCAAGCTCAGAGAGCACCAGGGACCCTTCATAATTGTGTATTTGCTGCTTTCAAGGAATGCTACTGCTTGCTTGGACCCAGCTCAGCAATGGGCTACAAAAGGTCATTCTACAGCCATTTGTCTAAGACTGCACATAATTGCATTTACCATAATTGGTTTTTCTTGTGTTGCAATTTACTTTTGGTTCCATGACTTAGTGACTTTTATGATTCACTGTGGTAAACCAGGGGTCCCCAACCCCTGGGCCATAACCTATTTGGAACTGGGGCGTGCGAGAGGTGGGCCAGCATGCACGCACAACTACAACTCAATTTTCTCTCTTGCGTGTGCAGCTCAATACATGAGTGGCAGGCCGGCTGTCACAGATCAACTTGCAGTTGAGCTGCAAGGTTCTACATTTAGGAAAGAAAAACCAAGTGCACAGGTGTAGCATAGGTGGTACCTGGCTCAATAGTAGCAACTGTGTGAGAGATCTTGGAGTCCTAGTGGACAATCATTTAAATAGGAGCCAGCCTTGTGTGGCAGCTGCCAAAGAAGTCAACACAGTGCTAGGCTGCTTTAACAGAGGGACAGAATCAAGGTCATGTGAAGTGTTAATACCACTTTACAATGCCTCTATCCAGTTTTGGTTGCCACAATGTAAAAAAGATGTTGAGACTCTAGAAAGAGTGCAGAGAAGAGCCACAAAGATGAGCAGGGGACTGGAGGCTAAAACATACAAGGAACGGTTGCTGGAATTGGGTATGTCTAGTCTAATGAAGAGAAGGATGAGGGGTGACATGATAGTAGTCTTCTAATGATGCTGGGGAAGACTCCTGCGAGTCCCCTGGACTGCAAGGCAATCCAACCGGTCAGCCCTAGAGAAGATCAACCCTGACTGCTCTTTAGAAGGCCAGATCCTGAAGTGGAAACTCAAGTACTTTGGCCACCTAATGAGAAGGAAGGACTCACTGGAGAAGAGCCTGATGCTGGTAAAGATGGAGGGCAAGAGAAGAAGGGGACGACAGAGAAGGAGGTGGTTGGATAGAGTCACTGAAGCAGTAGGTGTGAGCTTCAATGGACTCCAGAAGATGGTAGAGGACAGGAAGGCCTGGAGGAACGTTGTCCATGGGGTCGCGATTGGTTGGACACGACTTCGCAACTAACAACATATAAGGAACGGTTGGTTGCTAGAATTGGGTATGTCTAGTTTAACGAAGAGAAGGACAAGGGGGGACATGATAGCAGCCTTCCAATATTTCAGGGGCTGCCATAAAGAAGAGGGAATTAAGCTATTTTCCAAAGCACCTGAAGGCAGGACAAGAAGCAACAGATGGAAACTAAGCAAGGAGAGAAGCAACCTAGAACTAAGGAGAAACTTCTTGACAGTGAGAACAATTAATCAGTGGAACAGCCTGCCTCCAGAAGCAGTAAATGCTCCAACACTGGAAGTTTTTAAGAAGAGACTGGACGGCCATTTGTCCGAAATGGTGTAGGGTTTCCTGCCTGAGCAGGGGGTTGGACTAGATGACCTCCAAGGTCCCTTCCAACTTTACTACTACTACTACTACTACTACTACTACTACTACTATTATTATTATTATTAACAATATCTCGAAGGCTGCCACAGAGAAGAGGCAGTCAAGCTATTCTCCAAAGCACCTGAGAAGCAACAGATGGAAAGTAATCAAAGAGAGAAGCAACCTGGAAGTAAGGAGAAATTTCCTGACAGAACAATCAATCAGTGGAAAGACTTGCCTCCTGAAGTTGTGAATGCTCCAATACTGGAAGCTTTTAAGAAGAGATTGGACAGCCATCTATCTACAATGGCATAGGGTTTCCTGCCTGAGCAGGGGGTTGGACTAGATGACCTCCAAGGTCCATTCTGCATGCATGTGCACCCCAGCACACTCACACGGCCCTATTCCTCTCTTCACACAGACACCCAAGCTGCAAAGTTTGGGGACCACTGTTGTAAACTATTAGGACTCCTGAGGGTCGTGAGTATATAAACGTAAGAAGCAAACAATTAGCAGAGTCATGCAACAAAGCTTTTATAGACTGGCTATGACTAGCAATCCACTCCCAACACATTTTGTCAACTGTTGATGAAAACAAAAAACCAGATCTCTTAGGAAATGCTTAGGTCACACCCGGGAAAAAGTCTTATTTCTCAAATGCTTCAAATACATTCTGTCAGGGAATTTGCACAGCTGGTGTCCAAATGGAATCAGAGACGCTGACAGAACTTGTAGTTTTATATAAATCGGTATATTTAACATCTATATCTACAGCAAACTAGCCAGTCAAGCTGATCGCTACATTATGAGGTAAATCATCAGGTAAATCACAGAATAGCATACAGAACACACAGAAGGAAAAAAAGGTGGGGAAAAAGGGAAACGCTCCCTCCACACCCGAAACGACCAATCACAGCACAGATTGCCTCACACAGGAGCCCGCCCTCTCCAATCAGTCAACTACCACTATGTGTCCTGGCCCATTATACACTTTACTCCAGGTATTAAATTAAATTAAATATCTTAACATATTCTTAACATGTTGGACAAGTTGGATCTGCTCCTCTTTCGCTTCTTGTCCCTTAGTACAGGGGTCCCCCCACCTTGACAACTTTAAGACCCGTGGACTTCAACTCCCAGAATTCCCCAGCCAGCCATGGTGGCTGGGGAATTCTGGGAGTTGAAGTCCACGGGTCTTAAAATTGCCAAGGTTAGGGACCCCTGCCTTAGTAGAACAGAAAGAAACAAAGTTGTTCAAAATGTATTTATCAGGCTCTGTTTCTTGTCTCAGGTAACGGAGAGGCCGGGGCGTACATGGCCTATGAGCAGGGACCATCATCCTCTTCCAGAAGGCAGCCTGGAGGCCTCTTGGATGCCCTGGAGCACAACGATAAAAGCTGTAATGAAACAAACCAGGAGAAATGCTGGCCAGGAGAAGAATCGGTATGCACAGGCGCTGGATTGATCAAGCTCATTTAGGTCTCCTTTATATAGAATTTTTGTGATGTGGGTGGCAGTGACGTAAACATAAGCTTTCTCCTGCCTTTAATTTTCTATTAGTTTTCTCACAATGATATTCATGCTTTAAAGGCTCTTTCGGAAGATGCCCCGGGTATCTTTTAAAAATTGGATAGATAGTTAGACAAATACAGATAGATAGATAGATAGATAGATAGATAGATAGATAGATAGATAGATAGATAGATAGATAGATAGATAGATAGATAGATAGAGTCAAAAATTAGACAGATAGCTAGATAGATTGATATATTCTTAAAAATTAGGCAAACAGACATAACTAGAGAGAGAGATTCTTTTAAAAATTAGGCAGACAGAGACATAACTAGATAGATAGATAGATAGATAGATAGATAGATAGATAGATAGATAGATAGATAGAGTCTTAAAAATTAGACAGATAGCTAGATAGATTGATAGATTCTTAAAAATTAGGCAAACAGACATAATTAGATAGATAGATAGATAGATAGATAGATAGATAGATAGATAGATAGATAGATAGATAGATAGTCTTAAAAATTAGACAGACAGAAAGATAGATGGTTGGTAGGTAGGTAGGCAGATAGATAGATAGATAGATAGATAGATAGATAGATAGATAGATAGATAGATAGATAGATAGATAGATAGATAGTCTTTTAAAAATTAGACAGACAGATAACTAGAGAGAGAGAGAGAGAGATAGACAGACATAACTAGATAGATAGATAGATAGATAGATAGATAGATAGATAGATAGATAGATAGATAGATAGATAGATAGATAGATAGACAGACAGACAGACAGACAGACAGACAGATACGTGAATGGATGGATGGATACATTGGGTAGGTGGATGGATGGTAAACAGATCTGGATTACCTAAATTGTTAACTATTAATTTCTAAGTCTGCCTGCTGATTTTCAAGATTGGCTCTAGCTGTTGTTTAGGAACCTCACTTGCTGCATAGTGGAGAAATTAGAAGATTTTGCCTAGTCATATACCCACTTCTAACACCTACTTGAACTTCCATGCATTCATTGTCAAGAACTTGATACCCGGAAATATTGTGATCTTTCCAGTAACTCTTGTCAGTTTTCATAAACAGTTCTCTTACATTTCTGCAGTCCCCACCTGGCACTGCTTCCAGTGGGCGTATTTGGGTGACTGAAGTTGATCTATTAAGGAAGGCAGATGTCATCAGCCTTTTTCTTCCTTAAAACTATTGAAATTGAAGGATGAGTCCAGTGGTGGGATTCAGCCGGTTCACACCACTTCAGCAGAACCGGTACCTAATTTGTTGTTGCCCAGGCCCAGAATGGACTTCCGGAAGCGGCATCCACACATATTGTTGTTCACATATTTTAATCCCACCACTGGATGAGCGATGGTATAATATTTATTTCATTGTAAACTGTTTTGAGAAGTTTGTGTTTGGGAAAGACCTAGATGCTGCACTAAATAAATCAAATACTTTTTTTAAAAAAAATCTTTTATACAGATAGCCTTCGACTTATGACCACAACTGAGCCCAAATTTTCTGTTGCTAAATGATACAGTTAAGTGAATTTTGCCCCATTTTATGATCTTTCTTGCCACAATGGTTAAGTAAATCACTGCAGTTGTTAAGTTAGTCACACGGTTGTTAAGTGAATCTGGCTTCCCCATTGACTTGGCGTCTCAGAAGGTTGCAAAAGGGGATCACATGACCCTGGGACACGCAACCGTCATAAATACATGCCAAGTACAAGCATCCAAATTTTAATTACGTGACCATAGGGTGCTACAACAGTCATAAATGTGGAAAAGGTCATAAGTCACTTTTTCAGTGCCGTTGTAACTTTAAACAGTCGCTAAATAAATTGTTGTAAGTCTGTACTTGTCTTCCATTTGATTGAAGATATTTTAGTATGAACAATAGTTTTCTAAATTTGTAAGGGCATCCTGAACCCTGAGGCAATACTGCGATTTAATGTTAGAGTTTAAAAGGAGCAGGTTGCTTTCCTTGAACTAATACAAAACTCTTGATTCACAAATTGATTAAGGATTAAAATATTTGCAGAAGAAGCAGGACACACACACACACCCTTGGCTCCACTGCTAATTGTACAGCTTAGCTGAGAAATGTTTAATTCTGCTGTTTCACCTTTTGCTTTCTTTTTTTTCTTTCTTTCTGAGTTGGATTTCTTTCTAGTAATTTCTGTACTCACTCAAATGTTTTGGTTACATTTTTTTTTTTAATGTGGAGAGGATGTGTGAGATGAAAAATGTGACTGTTCTTTGGCACTTGAGTGTCAGCATTTATTTCTCAGGAGGGAAATCCCACTTGCTTTCTAGCTTAAATCATCTCCACTGCTTACGCTTTATTTATTTTTTGTTTATTATATTTATTTTCCACCCGTCTCAACCACAAGGTGATTCTGGGTGGCTTATAATGTTAAAAAGATTAAAACAATCAACAATATGAATATCATAAGAATAAAACACTATAAATGCTGTGCTGTAAGCCTCCCAGATGAGCCGCAAATAAATAGTCCTCCATTTATAGCAGTTATTTAGTAATCATTTAAAGTTACCACAGCTCTGAAAAAGTGACGGCCATTTTTCACACTTATGACCATTGCAGCATCCCCATGGTCACCGTATTTATGACGGTTGCAGTGTCCTGGTGAGGTGGGCAGGAAAAAGTTCATAAAAATATATCTATATCTTAATAGGAACGCTTGTTGCTGATAATAGTTAATAGATGATATTAAGTTTGGCTGTGCAATGTAACCTAAATCATATAACCATAAAGTTATAGCCATAAAGAAGAGGGAGTCAAGCTATTCTCCAAAGCGCCTGAAGGCAGGACAAGAAGCAACGGGTGGAAACTAATCAAGGAGAGAAGCAACCTAGAACTAAGGAGAAACTTCCTGACAGTGAGAACAATTAACCAGTGGAACAACCTGCCTCCAGAAGCAGTAAATGCTCCAACACTGGAAGTTTTTAAGAAGAGACTGAACAGCCATTTGTCCGAAATGGTGTAGGGTTTCCTGCCCAAGCAGGGGGTTGGACTAGATGACCTCCAAGGTCCCTTCCAACTTTACTACTATTATTATTATTATTATAACCTGTGTGTCATTATCATAAAGATGTGCTCATGCTATGAAGAAACCATTTTACAAGAAGTGTCAGTGTCAACTGAAAGTCACAGATGTGGTAAGTATTGATGTAAGTATTGTGGTTTTTCACAACACCGGAGTCATGTGATCACCTTTTGCGACCTTCTCACTAGCAAAGTCAATAGGGAAGCCAGATTCACTTAACAACTGTGTTATTAACTTAACAACTGCAGTCATTCGCCAAATAACTTTGGCCAGAAAGCTCATAAAATGGGGCAAAATTCACTTGACCGCTATCTTGTTCAGCATTAGAAACTTCGGGCTCAGTTTTGGTCAAGGATCACCTGTAAAAATAAAAATATAAATATTGAATGAATGAATAAACAAACAAATAAATTCCAAAGGATCAGCTGTAAATGCTTTGATCTTCACTTCAAGGGTCTTCTTCCCACAAACTGAATGATTTTTTTTTTCCACCGACTGTAGGATTTAGTGACAAATCAGTTTTTGTGGGTCTCCTGGAATCGTCTCAGAAAAATTGCTTACCTTTGCTATTAACCTTGTTCCTTTTATAGGCGAAGCGTATCTCAACTCTGTCCCTTCAGTATGAAAAGAAAATGATGGATCAGCAGAAAGGCAGTGGCAGGAAGAAAATCAAGATAGTCAGTGGTTTGGTACGTAGCACTTGAATGGACTATAAAAGGATGTATTTCCAATAAAAAGATGATCCCCCCCCCATTCTCACAATCTCTTAACCCAGGGGTAGGCAACCTTGGCTCTTTTATGACTCGTGGACTTCAACTCCCAGAATTCCTGAGTCAGCCACGCTGAGGGGAAAGGGAGAGGTTTCCAAGCTGAGCCAGGCTGGCTCAGGAATTCTGGGAGTTGAAGTCCACCAGGCATGAAGGGGCCATAGTTCTCCCATGCTGGCTCAGGAATTCTGGGAGTTGAAATCCACGAGTCATAAAAGGGCCAAGTTTGAAGACCCCTGGTTTAAATATTTAAATATTTTTTCCTCACGGTCACGTGATCAAAATTCAGGCATTTGGGCAGGGGTAGGCAACCTTGGCTCTTTTATGACTCGTGGACTTCAACTCCCAGAATTCCTGAGCCAGCCACGCTGAGGGGAAAGGGAGAGGTTTCCAAGCTGAGCCAGGCTGGCTCAGGAATTCTGGGAGTTGAAGTCCGCGAGTCGTAAAAGAGCCAAGGTTGCCTACCCCTGTCTTAATCTGTTGTGGAGGAAAGGTGTTTTTCTACTACAGCCTTTAATCTTATTTATATCAGGGGTGTCCAACCTTGGCAACTTTTAAGACCTGTGGATTTCAACTCCCAGAATTCCCATGCTGGGAAGGTCTAAAAAGCCTTGCTTTATAAGATCCCATTTCTCTATAAGAGCCTGATTTTTACACAATGTTCATTACAGGCGGTCCTCAACTTAACAACGGTTCATTTAGGACTGTTCAAAGTTGCAGTGGCACTGAGAAAAGTGACTTATGATCGTTTTTCACATTTGTGACTGCAGCAGCCATCCCCACAGTCATGTGAGCAAAAATTCAGATGCTTGGCAATGACAACAGTGTCCCAGGGTCATGGGATCACCTTTTGTGACCTGACAAGCAAAATCAGTGGGGAAGTCAGATTCGCTTAACAACCACGTTACTAACTTAACAACTGCGATGATTCGCTTAACAACTGTGGCAAGAAAAGTCCTGAGGCAAAACTCACAAAACTGTATTACTTAGCAACAGAAATTTTCAACTCAGTTGCGGTCGTTGAGAACTACCGGTATTCCACAGCTGTTGTGCTTATTTCATCCCCTTCCCCTTGCCTGTAGGAAACAATGACTGCACAAACCAGTATGTTAAGTTTTGTTTCCTCTTAAACATGACAATTTCCTAGCTTCTTTCTAAATAGTTTATGCTAGCATTCTGCATACACTATTTATAGCCTATGTCTTAATACTCCATGTACTTACAAGAATTTGCTTGATCCTCAGTACTAAGTAAAATATTTTTCCGCTGCAACTACAGTTCTCTTGTAGTTGTTTTGTTAGGTCAAATTAAACTCCTCATCGTCGTCACTCTCTCTACATTGAACCATAAGCTGGACCAATGAGTTAGATTTGCACTACTGCTCAAACTAAGCTGTAAATAAACATAATCAGCATGTGACGCAAGTCAGCAGCTGTGTTTGTCTGGTTGACATGGTTAAGGACAATTATTTGGACGCCTGACAGCAAAGCTGGGAAAGAAAAAGAACTAAAACACATCAAGGAATCCCTTAGAACAGGAGTAGGCAACCTTGGCTCTTTTATGACTCGTGGACTTCAATTCCCAAAATTCCTCAGCCAGCATGGCTCAGCTTGGAAACTTCTCCCTTTTCACTCAGTTAGGCTGGCTCAGGAATTCTGGGAGTTGAAGTCCACGAGTCATAAAAGAGCCAAGGTTCCCCATCCCTGCCCTATATCAGGGGTCCTCAACCTTGGCAACTTTAAGACTCGTGGACTTCAACTCCCAGAATTCCTGAGAAAGCCACGCTGAGGGGAAAGGGAGAGGTTTCCAAACTTAGCCATGCTGGCTCAGGAATTCTGGGAGTTGAAGTCCACAAGTCAGAAAGCGGCCTAGGCCAGAAGTAGGCAACCTTGGCTCTTTTATGACTCGTGGACTTCAACTCCCAGAATTCCTGAGCCAGCATGGGGGAACTATGGTCCCTTCATGACTCGTGGACTTCAACTCCCAGAATTCCTGAGCCAGCATGGGGGAACTATGGTCCCTTCATGACTCATGGACTTCAACTCCCAGAATTCCTGAGCCACCCTGGCTCAGCTTGGAAACCTCTCCCTTTCTCCTCAGCGTGGCTGGCTCAGGAATTCTGGGAGTTGAAGTCCACGAGTCATAAAAGAGCCAAGGTTGCCTACCCCTGCCTTAGAATGTGTGGCTATCCCAAGTGGGCCTTCATCAAATCCCCCAAAAGATCAGCAGGAGCTCCTCCATAACAGAAAGAAAAGAATAAACAAATAAACAATAAAAAAAGCAACGTTGTCATTCCATACGTTGCAGGAGGATCTTCAGCCAACACAACATAGGTGTATACTTCAAGCTCACAAATACACCAAGGCAGAAGCTTGACCACCCCAAGGATAAAACACCCAGACACAAACTGAGCAACGTGGTATATGCAACGCAATGCAGTGAGCCATGTGCAGATCTGTACATTGGGGAAACAAAACAACCCCTTCATAAACCTTAGAGGTCATCTGTTCCGACCTCATGTTCAAGCAAGAGCGCTTATACCATTTTAGATACTGTAAGGACCCACCCCACTTTGCATCTTAAGAAGACAGAACTCTTGGAATAATTCTTCCAACAGGAATCCTTTATTAAGAGAAAATGGTTGCAGGCATGCTAGACAGGACTTGGGGTTCAAGCTCTCCCATTCAAGGTTTTAAGGGGTTCCCCAGTAGTCCCACCCAATCAACCCCCCTTCCAGTGATAGTTTCAAGTATCACAATTCCACCCCGTTTCTTCTTTCTTCCGTCTGGATGGAGACTTCAGATAACTACATGAAAGGCAAATACTCTTCTTTGTTAATGCTAATGTTCTCTGGATGCTAACGCTTTGAGGTTACAATAGGTTACAATAAACACACATTCAGCATTCAGCTCTTTGAAGTCTACTGAAGGAAGTGAGGGCCATAAAGCCCCTTTGTTCTCCCCCTTCTCTCCCTCTTATGGCAGAATCCAAAGAAGGCAGAATTGGGAGTTTCTATATTTGATAATTAAAGATGAAATATGATTGGATTCTGACAGATACATGCTTTCTAATCTCTTCTTGAAAACCTCCAGTAATGGAGCACCCATGGCTTCCGAAGGCAAGCCATTCCACTACTGAAGACGTAGTAAGACTACCGCAATGAACACTGTGTGGTTTTGCTTTTGAAGCACACTTCAGTTTGGTTCCAGATGGAATGTCGCTGATGGAAGTGAGAGACTATTTTGGTGAAATTCAGGAGAATCATAGCCGGCATGATTAGACAAGCTTGAATTGAAGGACCAAGCGTTCCTTTCATCTACCTAAACTAATTAATATTTACAGTACTTCTGTATAACGTTTCCTAAGGAACTATTTGAGGCCTTAAGGAAAAAGCAACCTCAAGAGCCGAGGTGGCGCAGCAGTTAGAGTGCAGTACTGCAGGCCACTTTAGCTGACTGTGTTCAGCAGGTCAGCGGTTCAAATCTCACCGGCTCAAAGTTGACTCAGCCTTCCATCCTTCCGGGGTAGGTAAAATGAGGACCCAGATTGTTGGGGGTAATGTAAATATATATATATACATTGCTTACTGGTGTACACCGCTTAGAGAGTGCTTGCACTTAAAGCGGTATATAAGTCTCATAAATAAATAAATTCAAAATGTCTCATCAAAGAGAAAACGCTCAAAACATTTCACAAGTTTCTGGCTTCTTCAAGTCTTAACTAGGCCATTATTCACAGAGTACAGATGCCTGCAAGATTAGAATTCAGGATAACGTTTAAAATATTGACTAGGGCGTAAGAGATAAATTAAGGGCCAGTTTGGTCTAGTGGCTAAGGCAGAGGTCCCCAACCCCCGATCCGTGGACCGGCACCGGGCCACGGCACACCAAAAACTGGGCCTTTGAAACAAGCGAAGCCCTGTCCGTGGAATGCAGGCAGCACACGAAATCACACACACACACAGCCGATCCGTGGAAAAAGCTCTCTCTCTCTCTCTCTCTCTCTCTCTCTCTCTCTCTCTCCTGCCCAACCCACTTCACTGGGCTGTTGTAGGGAAAATAAGAGGAGGAAGGTATGTTTCACATATTCACTGCCTTGAGTTATTTGTAAAAATAATAACCGTGGGATTTCAAATTTATTTATTTATTTATTTGTGAGACTTATATACCGCTTTTAAGTGCAAGCACTCTCTAAGCGGTGTATACCAGTAAGCAATGTATATATATATATTTACATTACCCCCAACAATCTGGGTCCTCATTTTACCTACCCCGGAAGGATGGATGGCTGAGTCAACCTTGAGCCGGTGAGATTTGAACCGCTGACCTGCTGAACACAGTCAGCTAAAGTGGCCTGCAGTACTGCACTCTAACTGCTGCGCCACCTCGGCTCAATGAATACCGTATATTCCGGCGTATAGGGCGACCCGGCGTATAAGACGACCCCCTAGTTCGACGCCGGGTCGCAAGACCATCGACGCCAAGTCGCAAGACCATCGATGCCGAGTCGCATGCCTAGAAAGTCGTCTTATACGCCGGAAACTACCGGTATTTCCGGCGTATAAGACAATCGACGCTGAGTCGCATGCCTAGAAAGTCGTCTTATATGCCGGAAACTACGTTATTTCTGGCGTATAAGACGACCCCCGAGTTCAGAGGCTGTTTTGACGCTCTCAAAAGTCGTCTGATACGCCGGAATATACGGTAAATAAAGTAAAATAAAGCAAAATAAGTACAGTAGCAATTGGAATTCTGACATTCATTCTGGGAAATATTTGGAGGGGATTTAGACAGTTAAAAATACTTAAAGGGAAGGAAAAAATAGTTAAAATAAAGATGGCTAAAAAATTTGGGCATACATGGAGAGGGGGGAAAAATGATCTTTCTCTTTTTTTTTTATTTTACAGCAAACTAGTGGGGTACCTGATTCTTCGGAGCCCAAGACAGCCAGAGCTGTTGCTTTTATGGCAACAGTGAAGAAATCTCTGAGCCGGCTAAATTTTGATATATTTTCACAAACCCTCCATCAGTACAAAAGAAAACACGATTTCGATGCTATGTTATTTCAGTTGAGTGGTCTTTTCTTGCAGGACCAAAACACCCACGTCCTAATGCGAGGTATTTGAAGTGCTCAGGTTTCTCTTGTAGCAATAGCATGTATGAATAACAGTGAGGGATTAAATAGTACTTGCGTTCCTTTTGTTAATATTTTGCTGGTGGTTTTTTTTTTAGCAAATTTTATTAATTTTTCAAATTTTAACAACCAAGTAATTAGGAAGCAGCGTGGTGATAGGGTAATTAATAAGCCAATAACAGAATGATACATAGATATCTCAATTTACATCAATAAAGGTTCCATCTCTATTTCCCATAGGTATTATATCACATTCATATTAGTACATTTCTAGCTAAAGTTCAATCAATCTATACATTTTATCAATAGCATTTTGGTTATACATATCCAAGTCCTGTTTTTAGGTTTTATTTAATTCCAATTATCATATTCCCATTTAGCCTTTTATAACCAATACTTATAATTTGGATAGGTTTAGTTTCCCTCACTTCATTATAAACTAACTCTCATGACTAAAATACAAATATTATTCCAAAATTTAAATTCTTTCTTTATTCACCAACATGTTTTAATGTAGTTCAGATAGTTTAATATAGTTCAAATGCTGATTGCATTTGCATCTGTAGCTACAGTGTTAGGGGTTATGATGTCTAACAAGGGTGTCACGTACTGTAGCATGTATAGTAACCACTGGCTAACGCACAGAATAATTTTTTTTAATTATTATGGTTGCTTGCACAGTCAGTCAGATGTTTGAACTAGATATCACCTTTTTATCTACCCATCAAGTCCCAGGATGTAAGCTGTTCCAAGTTAAGCTGCCTTTTGCAATTGACTGATGGGGATTTTGTCAATGCCGAGGGTATTCAGGTGATGCTCCAGATGTTTTGGGATTGCAATTGGTATTATCTTTGCTTTCTTTTGCCACAATCATTTTAACTTCTATTCGCAGATCTTTGTATTTTGTGATTTTCTCCAGTTCTTTCTCTTCTGCTGTCTTCAGGTACTGCCAGGTCCACTATCCAGACTTTTTTGTCTTTCTTATCAACAATTGTTAAGTTGGACATTGTACGTGGCAGGTGCTTGTCAATCTGAATTCTAAAGTCCCAGAGAAATTTAGCTTATTCATTTTTCTTTTCGGGGTCCCACCAGTTCTCCCTTGCAGACAACTGGGTATTTGTTGTAGATCTTGCAATGTGCTATTGTTGCTACTTTGTCACGCCATTGTTTGTAGTAAGTCTGTGTGACATGGTTGCATCAGGAAGAAAGAAACTAGGAAATCCACTGTTTCTTCAGCTTCTTTGTAGAAGTGGCATTTGCTATCTGTTGCTTCCTTCTCAATTCTGGCTTTGTATGCATTTGTTATTTATTATTATATATTATTAAATAACATGAATTACTATATTAATAAATGTAATATATAACAACACAGAGATACACTAAACAAATGTATCTACTATTCCTGTTCCTATTTTTCCCACAATCACCCTCCGAGAATCACCGGCTCGAAGATTCCCAGCTGTATTTCATGCTTATGAAAGGACTAGAATTCACTGTCTCCTGGTGATTGGCCCAAAGTTACCCACCCAGCTTTCATGTCTAAGTGAAACTAGAATTCACAGTATCCTGTTGTTGGCCCAAAGTCACCCATTCGGCTTTTATGCCTAGAGCAGCGGTTCTCAACCTGTGGGTCAGGACCCCATTTGGAGTCGAACGACCATTTCACGGGGGTCGCCAAACAACGCAGTCCGCCATTTTTTCCCCCTTTTCCTTAGCTGTGCTACTCCCTTTTATTCTATTGGCTTTTGAAAGCCAATAGAATAGACTCTCTTGAATAGAGTCTAATTCTATTGGCTTTCAAAAGCCAATAGGAATTGTCCAGGCTGTCTGTGCCCTGCTGAGCCCGCCAAAAGTCCCATTCTGCAAACGGTGCTGCACCAGTTAATAGTCCTCGACTTACAACCGGTTGAGTAGTCCTCGACTTACGACCGGCTGGGGGTCGCGGCATTAAAAAGGTTGAGAACCACTGAGCTAGAGGCAGGATCCGGGTGATTGGGCCAAGTCACCGAGCTGCCTTTCACGCCTAAGGCAAGACTAGAACTCATCGTCTCCTGGTGATTGTCTCAATGTCACCCAGCTGGCTTTCATGCCTAAGGCGGGACTAGAACTCACAGTCTCCTACCATCTCCTACCACACCAAACTGGCTTTCTTGGTGAATTAAGTTCTCTTTGTGGAGCCTGAAGATACTGCCAATTAAAAGGACTTTTAAGTGACACCTGAAGGCAAAACCCTAAGGCAGTGGTTCTCAACCTTTTTAATGCTGCGACCCCCCCAACCGGTCATAAGTCGAGGGCTACTCAACTGGTCGTAAGTCGAGGACTACTCAACTGGTGCAGCACCGTTTGCAGAATGGGACTTTTGGTGGGCTCAGCAGGGCAGAGACAGCCTGGGCAATTCCTATTGGCTTTTGAAAAGCCAATAGAATAAAAGGGAGTAGCACGGCTAAGGAAAAGGGGGGAAAAAATGGCGGACTGCGTTGTTTGGCGACCCCCGTGAAATGGTCGTTCGACCCCAAATGGGGTCCCGACCCACAGGTTGAGAACCACTGGCCTAAGGTAGAAAGAGATGCATCGTGCCTACTGAAGGACTCACAGACCTGTCTTAACCTTCATCCCCAAACAACAAAACTACTGTTGAGAAACCATTGTTTTGTCCATTTCAGCAACAGTCTTAAGATGTGTGTGTGGGGGGGGGGAGGTCCACTGGCAGGTAGGCCACTCCTACGCTGCCAGCTGTCACCTTGTGCCCACTTGTGCTTCACTGCTATGGGCTGACAGACTGCCATGAACTGTGGGGAGGGGAAACGAGGGAGGGAATGCTTGGGGAAATGAAAGTAAGTGTTGTGTCTTCTCTAGATACTGCCTCAAGGTCACCCAGCTGGAAGGAAGAGGGAGCTGCATACCAAACTGCAGTTGGACTGACCCTTAGGAAAACATCTTGCCTGAACCTTATTGGCTGCACAGGGCTGGGCAGTGAGAGACAGTTAAGGGAGGGAAAAGTAAAACTTAGGGATTTGGGGCACGATTCTCAGTTCTGGCTTTGCAATACTGCAGTGCATTTGATCTCTAACAAACTATACCTTTCTCAACAAATGGAGCCCAGGATCGTTTCTATTGAGAGGTTTAAGTTGTGGCAGGTGTGATACACACGGAATCATTAACCAAGTTTGACGAACCACAGTGCTGGATTTCCACCTGCTAAAATGCACTCTGCCTTTTGGGAGAAACGGGGCCAGCATTTGACCCTATTAACTGCTATCATCATCTTTCCTTCTATTTTTTTTTTTTTCATATAATTTGCCAGACTTTTACCAGTTCATTCGGCCTCAGCACAAAAAGCAGTTTGACGAAGCTTGCCGTTCCCTGACCGGAATCGGTTGCGGATACAAACCGGAGCACAGCCTTCTGCCAGAAGATAGATTGTTGTTGGCTAAAAATGCAGGTGAGGCCATCTTTTAAGCAGCTGGCAGCTCCGCCGGCATTGAAATGTACTCTTCGTAGAAGCCACCCTTTTCCCAGGAAAAGAGAAGCAATGCTCTCGCCAGAACGGAGCATCCTCTTCCAGCCAGTTTTGTTTTCTGTCTCTGTAGAGCAGTGGTTCTCAACCATTTTAATGCCGCAACCCCCCCCCCCAACCGGTCGCAAGTCGAGGACTACTCAACAGGTGCAGCACCGTTTGCAGAATGGGACTTTTGGCGGGCTCAGCAGGGCAGAGACAGCCTGGACAATTCCTGTTGGCTTTTGAAAGCCAATAGAATTAGACTCTATTCAAGAGAGTCTATTCTATTGGCTTTCAAAAGCCAATAGAATAAAAGGGAGTAGCACAGCTAAGGAAAAGGGGGGGGGGAAATGGCGGACTGCGTTGTTTGGCGACCCCCTGAAATGGTGGTTCGACTCCAAATGGGGTCCCGACCCACAGGTTGCGAACCAATGCTGTAGAGCAGTGGTTCTCAACCTTTCTAATGTCGCGACCCCATAATACAGTTCCCCATGTTGTGGTGACCCCCAACCACTTATACATCACAGGGTGCCAGGGGCATGGCCAAAGAAAAGGGGAAAAAATGGCGGACTGCGTTGCTTGGCGACCCCCGTGAAATGGTCGTTCGACCCCAAATGGGGTCCCGACCCACAGGTGGATAACCACTGCTGTAGAGGCATTTCCTTCAAGCTCTTTCAAAAGAGATTAAATCCATCTTAACAAGGAAAAAAAAGACTAGGTTCCTTTGCCCAGTTTCTTCATCAGTAACTGATAAAATCCCTGGGATTACATGGACCTGAATCTTCCCAGGAACCTCTCTTCCCAAGCTGCTGTCAATAAATATTTTTTGTTAATGCTGCAGTTTTGATGCTTAAAAGTTTTAATATTTTTTTAACTTGTCTGTGCAGGCAGTCCTCAATTTACAACCATTTGTTTAGTTGCAGTGGCTCTGAAAAATGACCGAGGGCCGTTTTTCACACTTAACAACCCTCGCAGCATCCCCATGATCACAGGATCAAAGTGCAGACGCTTGGCAACTGGCATGTACTAATACAGTTGTAGTGTCCTGGAGTCACATGATCACCTCTTGCGACCTTCTGATAAGCAAAGTCGATGTGGAAGCCAGATTAACAACTTTAACAACTTAAATGGTGGCAGCGTCCCCCCAGGGTCACGTGATCCACACTCAAAATGCTTGCGAACTGACTCATATTTACGACAGTTGCAGAGTCCTGAGGTCACGTGATCGGCTTTCGCAAACCTCTGACGAGCAAAGTCGATGGGGAAGCTAGATTCATTTAACACAGCCGCGTTACTAACTCAACCACTTCGGTGATTCGCTTAACAACTCTGGCAGGAAAGCTGATGTAATGGGGCAAAACTCAGTTAACAACTGTCTTGCTCGATTGTGGTTGTAAGTTGAGGACTACCAGTACTATTATTTATTATACGGTAAACCAGGGGTCCCCAACCCCCTGGTCCGTGGATCTGCATGCCAGCAACCGGTCTGCACAAACAAGCAAAGCCCCATCCGTGGGATGCAGGCAGCACACAAAGCCATGCACCCTCCGGTCCGCGGAAAAACCTCTCTTCACGGAACCTCGTGTTGGGGACCTGAGTTCTAGTCCAACCCCCTGAGATTTCATTCTCCAGCAGCAAATGTAAGGAAAGAGAGAAACCTTGGCTGCTTCTCTAGTGTCTATTTTGGGAAGGAGAATTTCGTCCTGGATTTTATCCCAAGAGGTTTTATCCCCAGGAAAACCTTTCCGACAAACAAAATCAACGGGGAAGCCAAATTCATGCTCACAACTGTGTGTGACTAACTCAACCCCTGCGGTTGTACCTCTGCTGTAAACAGCCCAGAGTGGCTTAATAGCGAGATGGGTGTGGTATAAATTTAATAAATAATAATAAATCAATAATAATATTTCTACTTACTTAAAATATGTATCTGTTGCCTACCTGGCTAGGGGAGTATAGCTTTGTTACCACCAGCCAATAGAATTATTTTTTGGGAGGGTTTTATTACACTTGGTGTTCTGATACATTTGTTGTTTTTGCTGCTAAACCAGGAGTCCCCAACCCCTGGGCCGCGGCCCACTAGCAAGCCATGGCCTGTTCCAAACCAGGAGGTGGGAGAGATGGGCAAGCGAGTGGAGCTTTGTGCGCGAGCTCAAGTGCCTGCCGCTCACACGAGTGTAGCATCGTGCTCAAGCGCATGTTCCATGTCTGAGATGTTATAGGTTCTCCTGCATGAGCAGGGGCTGGACTAGAAGATCTCCAAGGTCACTTCCAGCTCTATTCTACCCTCCATCTTTGCACGCTCTATTCACGTGAGTGGAGGGACCGTGCGCTCGCCACTTGCACAAATGGAGTTGTGCGTGCGCTCCTGCCACAAACACGCCTCCCTTGTGCTAATCTGTTCTCAAGGTTTGACTTTTCAGCCAGCCAGTATCTCTATCTGGTTTTCTTTGATTTTAGGACAGGAACGTGAGAAGAAAATTACTTGTTTGGAAGATTCCACTAAACAGCTGAATTCCGTGCAGCATTTAAACAAAGGCGGATCCCACCTGACGGCTGACTTAAATGCAAAAGGTATGCTTTAAATAAAGTTCCTGGTAATACCTGTGGGCCATTTTTCGTTTCCAGTTCATCATTAAAACTGAATTCAGTCACATACTCACACTGGGATGAAACTCATTAAGATTTTGAATTGGGAGAAAGAGGGACTCCCTGAGCAGGGGATTGGATTAGATGACCTCCAAGGTCCCTTCCAACTTAATTATTATTATTATTATAAATGCTCTTTTGAAGATTGATGTCCCAGGGAAGGAATATTTTTTACCCTTCTGTTGCATATTAATCATACAGTTTTGACTTCAAAACAAAGAATTATAATTCTTTTAGCCGGAAAGGAAATATTTCTGTTACTTTTAATCTAGATTAACAAATGTGGAGCAATAATCATTCTCACTTCTGGTTTACTAATGTAAGAGGGTGAGTCTGTTTCTCAGTAAGCACTGCACATGCTTTTACAATGAGAAAATTTATTGCGTTATATTCTGGTTTCTGCTTTGAAAAATGTAAAAGCTGCTTCTGATGATGCACAGCAACCTGGAGAAAACAATCAAAGTTGTTAAAGAGGATGTAAAGGGATGCAAGTCTGGGTTTTCCAAGGAGACAACAATAAAGAGGGAAAACTCAAAAGAAATAAAATTAATTTCAATGTTTCATACATTTCCAAAGTCTGCAAAGTTCTTGTTTCCTCAATCTTGCCTAATTTCACAGGGCTTGACATTCTCCACAGCAAAAATATTTATTTGTTTGGTTTGGTTTTTATTCCACCTGTATTACTTTCTCAAGGTGGCAGAAAAGGCATTATACCCTTTCTTCCTCCTGTTTCCCCAACAATAACCCTGTAAGGTGGGTTGGGTTGAAAGAGAGGGACTGGCCCAAAGTCACCAGCCAACTTTCATGCCTAAAGTGGGATTAGAACTCACAGTCTCCTGGTGATTGGCCCAAAGTCACCCAGCTAGAATATGTGCTTTTCGGATATTCCGATATAGGGAATCAAAGCAGATCACGAAGAGGTTACCATTATGCCAGGGAAAACCGCTGTTAAGTAATAGTCTAATTTAGAAATCAAAAGGTCCAGGATCAGCTTGGATTACTGCAACATACTCTACATGGGGCTATCCTTGAAGACCACCAGGAAGCTAAACTGGTCCAGAATGCAGCCATGCAAAGATAGACATTCCTCACTTTTTTCCTATAACATCTCTGCTCTACAAGCTGCATGGATTACTAGTGGGATTCCAGATGTGATCTTCATTTATTTTAACCCAAGTATATCCGGGTGTCCAAACTTAACAACTCTGAGAAATACTACTACTACTACTAATAATAATAATAATAATAATAATAATAATAAAATTGGAAGTTCCAGTGTCGGAGCATTCACAGCTTCTGGAGGCAGGTTGTTCCACTGGTTAATTGTTCTCACTGTCAGGAAATTTCTCCTTAGTTCTAGGTTGCTTCTCTCCTTGATGAGTTTCCATCCGTTGCTTCTTGTCCTGCCTTCAGGCGCTTTGGAGAATAGCTTGACTCCCTCTTCTTTGGGGCAGCCCCTGAGATATTGGAAGATTGCTATCATGTCCCCCCTCGTCCTTCTCTTCGTTAAACTAAATGTACCCAATTCCAGCAGCCGTTCCTTATATGTTTTAGCCTCCAGTCCCCTGATCATCTTTGTTGCTCTTCTCTGTACCCTTTCTAGAGTCTCCACATCTTTTTTACATCGTGCAGTATTCCAAGTGTGGCCTTACCAAGGCCTTGTAAAGTGGTATTAACACTTCAAGTGATCTTGATTCCATCCATCCGTTAATGCAGCCTAGCACTGGGTTGGCTTTTTTGGCAGCTGCAGCACACGGCTGGCTCCTATTTAAAGGGTTGTCTACTAGGACTCCGAGATCCCTCTCACAGTTACTACTATTGAGCAAGGTACTCCCTATACTATACCTGGAGTCCACATGGGGAATTCTGGGAGTTGAAGCCCACAAGTCTTAAAGTTGCTAAATTCTTTGACCCCTGATATATTTGGATTAAACGTAATGAAGACCACACCTGGAATTACGATTAATTGACTATGTGCCATCACGTTGGTGTCCTCTCTTAGCAGATAGACCTTCTCCAGGATGATGTGTCCCTCTGCTGGCTCCTCGAGTCTCTTAACAGTGCATCCGTCACTGCTGTAATCAAGTCCATCTTCTTGCCAATTTCCCTTTGTCTTCTCCAGAGAACCCGGCCCAGGGTAATCATTCGATGTGATCATTTTAGTCTGGTCATTTGTACCTCCAGCAAAAACACTTGAGCCTTGCTTTGTTTGAGGATCCGTTTCTTTGCTTTTAGCTTTCCGTAGTAACCACAGAAGTCCTCTCCCACACCAAAGTTCAAAAGGGTCAAGGCTCCATTACCCATCCCTACAACATCGAGAACAATTTACAGGTGGTCCTCGGCTAACAAGCCCGATTGAGCTCAAATTGCTAAGCAAGACCCTTCTTAAGTGAATTCTGCCCCATTTTATGACCTTTCTCGCCAGTTTGTTAAGGGAATCACTGAAGTTGATAAACTGGTAATAGTAGTAAAGTTGGAAGGGACCTTGGAGGTCTTCTAGTCCAACCCCCTGCTCAGGCAGGAAACCCTACACCATTTCGGACAAATGGCTGTCCAGTCTCTTCTTAAAAACTTCCAGCGTTGGAGCATTTACTGCTTCTGGAGGTAACACGGTTGTTAAGTGAATCTGACTTCCCCATTGTCAGAAGGTCATAAGAGGGGATCGCAAGACCCCGGGTCATTCCAAACGTCATAAATGTTATCTGAATTTTGATCACATGACCCTCAGGTTGCTGCAGTGGTTGTGTGAAAACCAGTCATAAGTCATTTTTTTTCAGTTCCGTTGTAACGTTAAACGGTCACTGAACAAAAGGCTGCCTGTATTCAGACCTTCAATTATTTCTGAGAAGCAGCCACAAAAGCTGCAGACCCACATGAACCTGGGTAACTGGGCTTTCCACACCGCGTTTACGGACTCTGTGTTCTGTTTCAGGAGAAAGCAGTGCCAAGGTGTCTGATGTCTTCCGCCAACGTCCGTTCAGCACCACCAAGGAGAATGACAAACAGACATATCTGTCAGCTTATTTAAATGACCTCAAGACGTCCCTGGACAAAGCCAGCTATAATACCTTTAGGTCCACACTCCTCAACTACAAGAAGACAGATGACTACGACTCGTTGTTACCTGTGGTGGTAGGCCTCACTACGGAAAAGCCAGAGAACTTTCACCTTCTCCAGAGTAAGTGCCTCTCCAGCTGTTTTGAGAGCAAAGCTGAACTATGTCCATACATTTATTTATTTATTTATTTATGAGACTTATATACCGCTTGAAGTGCAAGCACTCTCTAAGCAGTGTACACCAGTAAGCAATGGATATATATATATATATTTACATTGCCCCCAACAATCTGGGTCCTCATTTGACCTACCCCGGAAGGATGGAAGGCTGAGTCAATCATGAGCCGGTGAGATTTGAACCGCTGACCTGCTGGACACAGTCAGCTAAAGTGGCCTGCAGGACTGCACTCTAACTGCTGCGCCACCTACCTTGTTAGGTCAAGGGCATCATGGTTCATGTGATGGGAGGAATAGGACATATTGCCTTCCCCAAGGAATTGGGCTAAATTCTGGTGGCAAAACAGATCTGAAACTAATTAATTGTAGAAGTCCAAATATTTCTATACAGAAATAGCAGCTCAGAGAAATCCTCTGAAGTGGTCGGTCCTTCTACCCTAAGCAAACATCAATCGTGATTGGATTATTTAATCAGGAGTGGTCAACCTTGACTGGTGGAGTTCAACTCCCAGAATTCCCCAGCCATACTCTCTTAAAGCCACAAGTCTTAAAGTTGCCCAGGTTGAACACTCGCGATTTAGTCGTCCTGATGCAGACTTGGAATCACCTTCTCCTCAGATTAGGATAGCCCTGATCCTGCTTGCCATTCAGAAGGCCTGAAAACCAGGCAGATTAGGATGGCCCAAGTGTGTGAAAGGCCCCATTTCCTGGTTATGTTGACACTGATGCATTATAACAGTGATGGCGAACCTTTTAGAGACCGAGTGCCCAAACTGCAACCCAAAACCCACTTATGTATTGCTGGGTGGGTGTGGCCCACTTGGCAGGTGCAGCTACAGTGGGCGTGGCAGACTGGGTGGGCGTGGCCACGGGATGGGTGTGGCTGCAGTAGTCATGGCAGACTGGGTGTGGGTGGGGTGGGCATGGCCACCTCGATGTTGCTTATGGAGAGGGACACCTGTGGGAGCCGGGCAGGGCAAGGTTAGGGGAGATCCAGGGGGTCTCTGGCGGGTGGGATGGTGGGCTCCCCAATGGCCCCTCCAGGCTGGCTGGCCTTAGGCCAGTGATGGTGAACTTTTAGAGACCACGTGTGCTGGGGTGATGGCGTGTGCTCACAGAGAGGGCTCTGTGTGCCGCCTCTGGCACGCGTGCCATAGGTTCGCCACCACTGCATTATAATATCTTTTGTATTTAATTTCTTTTTTTGTATTGTGTTTTAACCAATTTGTTTTTATGATGGTTTGTCACCCAGAGTTACTGTTTTGAGATGGGTGGCTACAAGGAAGGAAGGAAGGAAGGAAGGAAGACTATGGGGTCATTGGTGCCCTCTGAGGGTTGTTTTCTTGCAGACATTTTGCTACCTAACTAAGTAACATCATCAGGGCTGGAAGGGATTTGGGTTTGATCTCCTTTTTGTTACCAGTGGCTTGCTCTGTCAGTGTTGGTGGGAGTGCCCAAACTGCAACCCAAAACCCACTTATGTATTGCTGGGTGGGTGTGGCCCACTTGGCGGGTGCAGCTACAGTGGGCGTGGCAGACTGGGTGGGCGTGGCCATGGGATGGGTGTGGCTGCAGTAGTCATGGCAGACTGGGTGTGGGTGGGGTGGGCGTGGCCACCTCGATGTTGCTTATGGAGAGGGACACCTGTGGGAGCCTTCATTGTTGTTGTTGTTAATTGCGAAGTCGTGTCCGACCCATCGCAACCCCATGGACAATGTTCCTCTAGGTCTTCCTGTCCTCTATCATCTTCTGGAGTCCATTGAAGCTCACGCCTACTGCTTCAGTGACTCCATCCAGCCACCTCCTTCTCTGTCGTCCCCTTCTTGTATTGCCCTCAATCTTTCCCAGCATTAGGCCCTTCTCCAGTGAGTCCTTCCTTCTCATCATTCCTTCATTAGGCTATGATTTACTGTTAACTGGTTTGTCTGAATTGTTAGTTCTTTGATTGTTGTTTATGGTTTGATTGTTGGCCTAGTATTAATCTTGACAGTAACTCTGGGTGACAAACCATCATAAAAACAATTATTAAATTGGTTAATTTCTGCTTATCTGGATGTCGATTGCCGGTGAGGAAGTGTTTGGGTCTTGAGTGAATTAGTTCATGAATTCCAGTATTCTCTCACTCAGCTGTGAAAAGTGTGCCTCAGCTCTCTTACTTTTGTCTGGCATCGCTTTGGCATTAGAAATTGTTCCCGTTCGGCACAGGTAGTCTTCGACTTACAATCACAATTGAGCCCAATTTTTTTGTTCCTAAGTGAAACATATGTTAAGTGAGGGACTTCTGGTCCTGCGCGGTAGTGACTGGTCGCGGGCTTGCAAGCCGCCGCATCCCTGGAGCTAACTTTTGTCTTGCCTGGAGACCCTAATGGGTCGTCCAAGCCCATCATATATGTAACTGTGATTTATCAAAATAATAAGAACTGTATTATTTCATGGCTTGCAAAGAAGGCATTTTGGGGAAAAGGGGAAATCATCTAAATCAGGGGTTCTCAACCTTGGCAACTTTAAGACTTGTGGACTCCAACTCCCAGAATTCCTCAGCCAGCTTTGCTTTGCTGGCTGAGGAATTCTGGGAGTTGAAGTCCACAAGTCTTAAAGTTGCCAAGGTTGAGAACCCCTGATCTAAATGTACTATGTGGATTATGGACTATAGAAACCAATTGTTAATGGTTTTTCTTTACAAATGTAAACCCAGCAAACACACTGTTTGCCAACTATTAAGTGATTTATGTTTTTTTTTCTTAAAAAAATCAATAAAATATATGGGGGGAAAAGAAACACATGTTAAAGGAGTTTTGCCCCATTTTACAACCTTTCTTGCCACATCGTTAAGTGAGTCACTGCAGTTGTTAAGTGAATCTGGCTTTCCTGTTGACTTTACTTTGCCAGAAGATCGTGAAAGGGGATCGTGTGACCCCGGGATGCTGGAAACATCGTAAATAGGAACCAGTTACCAAGTATCTGAATTTTGATCTTGTGATCGTGGGGATGCTGCCTGGTCGTAACTGTGAGAAATGGTCATAAGTCACTTTTTTCAGTGATGTTGTAATTTCGAACGGTCACTAAATGAATTGACGTAAGTCAAGGACTACCTGTATTGAAGAAAGGTTCTTTTTCCTCTGCGAAGCCTGTCAAGCATCATAAAAAGGAATATGACAGGTTCCATCTTCATAAAGATACGCTAGCAATTATTATAGTTAAAGACCAGAACGAGTCAACAAATTTTATGAACTTGTGAAGTTAGTAGATTTTCATAGTATGTACACAAAGAGGGATCTGTTTTTTGTCTTTCTGTACACTCTTGCATTCCTCTGCAGTATATCAGATGTGAAAAATATCCTCCCTCATCATCCCTAATTTCCTGTTTCTGCATTATCCCTTTCTTTGAATTTAAAATGAAATGGCTTTGGTAAGGCTGTTTCGAAATTGCATAAATAAAGTTGTTTTTCCCTCAAATTCCCCTAAAGTGATGGGATATGGTCCTGTAATTTGGAAATAGGGTGTAGATGATTATGATAATCATGATAAGGAGGTTGGTGGTAATGATGACGGTGTTATCCTTTCAATCATGTCTGATTCCTGGCAGTTCTGTGGGCCAGGTCTCCCCACATCATCCGATCTTGCATTGTTTCTTTGAAATGTTTTATGCTCTGGCTGGTGTCAGCTTTAAAGTTTTCCAGCCACCATGTTCTTTGGTGACCTAGTTTCCTTTAACCGCTAATTCTTCTAAACATAATTGCTTTGTCTAATGGATTTTCCCGCATGACATAACCAAAATAAGCGAGGCCGGAGGATATGGATATAACAACATTACATAAGCCTCAAAAAAGGCCTTTCAGTTTCACAAATAAGATCTAGGGATCAGCACAACAGACTGTGGGATGGAGTTCTCACTCCCTAAGTCATTAATCTGTGAGTTCTTTTATTTCTGTGCCAGAAAAATTAATTTCCTGCCTCTCACAGAGATCTCTCCTCGTTTTAACCGAAAAAGCCAGTTTGGTCTAATGCAATGGTTCTCAACCTTTCTAATGCCGTGACCCCATAATACAGTTCCCCATATTGTGGTGACCCCCAAGTGGGTGTGGCCACCAATAAGAGGGAGTAGGACAGCTAAGGAAAAGGGAAAAAAATGGCGGACAGCATGGTTTGGCGACCCCCGTGAAATGGTCGTTTGACCCCAAATGGGGTCCCGACCCACAGGTTGAGAACCACTGGTCTAATGGTTAAAGCTAGAAACTGGGAGAGTGAGTTCTAGTCCCTCCTTAGCCATGAAATCCATCAGGGTAACTTTGGGCCAATCATCAGGAGACTGCGAATTCTAGGCATGAAAGCCAGTTGGGTGACTTTGGGCCAGTCACCAGGAGATGGTGAGTTCTAATCACGCCTTAGGCTTGAAAGCTGGCTAAGTGACTTTGGGCCAATTACTCTGTCTCTATTCAACTCACTTCATGGGGTGGTTTTTGTGGGGGAAATAGAAGGTGGAAGGTGTACTAGATATGTTTGTCACCTTGTTGTTGTTAGTTAGTTGTGAAGTCGTGTCCGACCCATCGTGACTACATGGACAACGTTCCTCCAGGTCTTCCTGTCCTCTACCATCTTCTGGAGTCCATTGAAGCTCACACCTACTGCTTCAGTGACTCCCTCCAGCCCCTTCATTCTCTGTCGTCCCCTTCTTCTATTGCCCTCCATCTTTCCCAGAATCAGGCCCTTCTCCAGGGAGTCCTTCCTTCTCATTAGGTGGCCAAAGTCCTTGAGTTTCCACTTCAGATCTGGCCTTCTAAAGAGCAGTCAAGGTTGATCTCCTCTAGGACTGACCGGTTGGATCGCCTTGCCGTCCAGGGGACTCGCAGGAGTCTTCTCCAGCACCGTAGCTCAAAGGCCTCCATTCTTTGGCGCTCGGCCTTTCTTACGGTCCAACTTTCACAGCCATACATTGCAACTGGG